AGACAACGTGTCTCCAGTGTCATCAGCATCTCCATTTTTTGTCTGTTTTTCTATGTTGTTGGTATTTTTTTTCTGTTTTTCTGTTTTTGTTTTTTTTTTTTGGGTGACTGCTGCCACCGTCGTTTGGTTTTGGGTTTGGATCTAGGAGGTTTCTACTAGCTGGGGAGCTCGGAGCTGGGAGCTGCAGTTTGAAGTTGGAGGCGACGCTGCCCGTTGTTATAGTGCAGAAAAATTACTATGACAACGCTGGAAACAAGTAAACCACAGTTTACATTCACTCAATTTGGTGCGACAAGCTGGCGGGCAGAGGATGAGAGAGAGAGGATGGGGAGAGGTAGCGGATGGGTGGGGAGCGGGAACACAGTGTGGCAATGGCAGAATCGTGGCGTGGTGGTGGCACGCTCATCTTCAATTTTTCTACGACGACGTCTCTTTGGGCTTTGGGTCGGGCTCACACTCGTGTAGCAAGACTCCCCTTACTCCCCCCACAAAATGCCCCGTTCCCCCTCAGTCAGACCACGACTACACTGGGGGTTAAAGGGAAGACAGAGAGAGAGCGGGAGCGCGAAAGAGAGAGAGAGAGAGAGAGGGAGAGAGAGAGGGAGACGAGTAGATCTGCGCAGCAAGATGAGTGGTTGGCAAAAATGTTTGAATGCGATCACGAACTTGACCTTTCACATAACCTCAAAAAGGCAGTCACTCAGTCAAGTCGCGAGTCCAAGTCAACTTCGAATCCGTTGCTGCAACAACATACGCGCCATGTTAAGCAGCAGCAGCAGCAGCAACAGCCAAAAATAAGAACAAGGAGAGACCTGTGTGCAGTAGAAGACCTGTAAGCCTGTATGTCTTTCCTGCCTGGGTGTCAGCTACAAACTGCAAACTCGAGCATAATTAAAAAACAATCGCACTCTCTCTAACTCTCTCTCTTTCTCTCTCTCTCTCTCTGTCTCTGTCTCTGTCTCTGTCTGGCATTGTGCGGGCCAAGGCATTTGCAGTCAAGGAGCGGCATGTTTGCCTGCCTGCAGTTATGAGTTGTTCGTTGGACTCGACTATCGCTCGAGATGCCAAAAAATCAGCAGCCGCATCGATGAAGTGCAGCAACGGTAACACTACAACAACAATCACAACAACAACAGCAACAACAACAACAACATGCAACTAAATCTTGCATATCATTCAATGAAGTGGAGTGGTTGGTTAGAGTGGAGCGCAGTGGATTGGATTGGTTGGCAATGTTGCAGCGTCTTAAGGTCGTTCGCTTTGGCAACGACCCGCGTGTCGCCGCATCTACTTAACCTGAAAGCCTATGCCCCCAAGTGCCCAAGAAGAAGAGTAGAGGACTACAGACCGAGTCTTTGGGTCTCGAGTCTCGATGGGTAAGGCACCATCCAACATTCAACGTTCAACATCCACCAGGCAGCGTCACCAACGCCTGCACCAGCTTCTTGCTGCTGCCCCCCTCTCGCTCTTTCGGTCGGTCTATCTCTTTCTCTGTCTCTCCTAACCGGCTATGCGGCTAGTTCAACAGCTTTATTTATGGGCTGTTTGGGTAGCTTAAATAAATCAAGTTGTAGTTGTTTCGCTTTAGCTGCAACGCTTCCCAGCCTGCAATTAGACTTGGTGGGAATTCGCACTCGAGCTTATGCGAATTCTGCAGACGGTCTTTTAGCTCGGCATTTTCACAGATTTTTTTGTTTTTGTTTTTGTTTTTTAAACTATACCCTGTAGACGTTAATCGTTAGAAAAATTATAGATGGGTTTTTACCGTTACTCATCTATTTTAGGGGATCTATTTCTGCGCTAGTGTTAACTTTAACTTAACTGTATTAACCCGAAATCTGCCAAATTGCTTTATAATTGGTTAATAGGTGTAGAAAATATTTGGAAAGCTCTTTAAGTTGTATTAGGGAGAAAACAAGTAAAGTTGTAGAGCTTATAGTATATAAAGATCATACATTTAAGGCATAAATTGAATTCAAGATCAAGAAAATATATATTTTTTAAGTTTTCCTATCTTGATCAACGTTTAACTTCCAGCTGCTCAAGATTGGAGAGAGATTAAACCAAAATCTTATTTTATATTAGCCAAAGCACTTTTACAGGGTATTTTCTAGTCAACCAGTTGAATATACACATTTTTTTTGTGGCTGTCTTTTGTGCCTCATTCAGTTCATTCGCAGTTTGGGGCTATCGGCTATCGGCTATCGTGGCCGCTGCCTAATTGCATAATTATTTAAAAGCTATAATTTATGTAGCCAAATAGTCAAGTGTATACACATCCAATACCAATACCAAATATATATAAGGCGATGCTGAATGACCGTTAAACTTGAAAATTAAGCTGAACTCTGTCTCTCTCTCTCTCTCTCTCTCTGTCTCTCTCAATCTTTCTGTCTCTTTCTCTGACTACCACACACACAGCACAGCATATCACAGCCATTATGTGCCGTTTGTTTTACAAATTTTAACGCTATTTAACACATTTGCCACAGTTCCGCAGACAAGTCGCGCGTCTCTCGTTGGTAGCACGCCATAAAAATCGTGGACCTTAAACCATTAACACGTGAACCCAAAAAAAAACGGAGACAACTAACTGCCGACTAGAGCCTCTCTCTGCACTTCTCATTCAGGCATTCCGTATTGACAAAATTAATGATGCCCTCACTAATATCATGCCTAATTGATTAATATGCACAGTCGCCGACTCGACTCTTTATATTTTCTGTATTATATACACAAATATATATAAACACTTCTTTTTTTTGTTTTGTTTTTGTTTTTTTGTTTTTTGTTTTTTTGTTTTTTGTGTGTGTAACTCTTAGTCGATTTTCTAATGAACGCAACGCGTTTTTGGCTGTTAGCTGTTAATCTTACTGTATAGCCATTTAAGGCAGCCAACAGCTCTGCTTCTTAATTAAATTATGTGTACCGCTGTTGGGCACCCTACGGCCAGCAGCAGCAGCAGCAGCAGCATATAACCACATAACCATATAACTATCCATCTATTAATCTATCTGTGTATCTGTGTATCTATCTAAGCAAGGCAACCATCCATCTCGAAAGATAGTCTCTCTAGGCTGATGATGTCGATGTCGCTGCTGATGATGAGTTGAGACTCCGGAACGGGTAAAGTACCACAAGAGTTTTGGGGCGTTGCTGTTAACTTCACACACACACACACACAGTGCGCCAAGTCAAAGAGAAAGGCTGCCAAAAAGGTCAAATGGTCAACAGCTGGTGGTCGGTCAAGTGGTAAAACCAACAAGAACTAAACAACACCAGCAACAACAACAATAACAACAATAACTACAACGACACACGCTCTCTATGGGCTTGTTAGTTGCGCTAGATTGTGGGCCTGCCTACCCTCTATCCCCCTCCCCACTTCACTTAACTCTTTTTTTTTTGTTTTTGGGTTCTGGCTCAGTGGGTAACTAACAGCTGTGGCTCATTGTCGTTGCGTTAGAAATGGAGCTCCGCTTAGAGAGAAACAGCGTGAATCGGATTTTATGGGCCCACAAGTGATTTCCATGATGATTACGAGCGTTTGCTTCATGCTTGCAACAAGTTGCACGCGGCCAGTGTTTGCTCACTCGCAGCTCACATTAAATGGAAATGGAAATGGAAATGGTATCGGGCAGAATGGGTAAATAATACTGCGCATGTCTTATCATTAACTAAATGAGCTGTATGTGTTTTGATGCTTAAGCATTAACTGCCGCATTAAAATTTGGATGCGTTTCGATTTTCACTTTCACATCGAACAGTTTATTAATGAATATTTAAGAATTTAGTGATAGTAGGCACTTAACTTATATCCCTGCAGAGCATTAATAAATATATGAAAAAAAAACAAAGAAACTTTAACACTGAAATATTCAATCAAAATATGCAAAATAAAAATATAAACAAAAATACAAAAACAAATATGAAAGTGAAACCGGAACGCGGCTACTTCTGGATGAGTTAGTTTCGTTTCAGCCAAGGACGACGAGAAGCCAATATTACACAAAATCGATAAAAGGTTTTTGTATTTAATTAATCTTGAAACGGCGATTTGCATTTGAAGATAAAATATGCAGATTATGGCGCAAAATGTCACAGAAAATTAAAAACTAGACTTTTTATAAACGTATCTCAAATAAAAAGAATTTCAACGGTTAACTGATTAATGAAGGTGTTTATATCATCTATAAATATATATATATATATGCAGATACATAGCAACAGAGATGCGAAAGTCTTGTCAACAAAGGTTGATATAAAGTCAAATTAAGTTTAGGATGTGTTTTTTTTTTGATGTCATTAATAATCTGTGGTTTTAGAAGTATAGCAATTCTTGTTGATCTTATAATGGCAGAAACTTTCCAATAATCAATTATGAATACGCTTCAAAACCTAAGCTTTCAAAAACAATTTAGTCTACATTTAAATCTTAAGCGTTTGTTGTGGCTATCAGCGAAAACAATTTATTTCTCTATGGCTCGAGCACAGTCAACACTTAAACACTTAAAAGCTACCACAAACTTTTCCAAAAAACTTTCAACTTTCATTAAAGGTTCCGCTTAACTATAAAACCAAAATGTTCTGCTTATCAATTACGAATTATTCACAAGCCACCCACAAAAAAAAAGAGGAGAAAAAAAAACGAGGGGCGGCATCGTGCAACCTGCCAACTGTTATAATTAAAAAACCCGCCTTCATTTTAGGATTTCACCCGAGATGCAAATTGGTTTCTTCTCAATATACATATATTTATATATATTATTATTTTGTTTTTGTTTTTGTTTTTTTTTGTTTTATTTTTTCAGTTGACCCGCTTAAAAGAGTCAACTTCACGGAGATGATGGTTGATTAATTACTCGGAACCACATATGTTAATGCTCTTGGCCTGGCCAAGAAAACGGTAAGTGTTGTCCAGACAGGGCTTAAATATGTATATGTATTTCTATATATATGTGTGCATATGTATATAATTAGCAACTTACCGCGCGGCGAACGCAAACTCAAATCAACTGGTTCAACTTGAACCGGAGGGCCCTCTGCCTGCAAAAGACAAAGAGAGAGAGAGAGAGAGACAGTGAGAGAGAGTGAGAGAGAAGCAGAGATAATGGTTAAGAAAGATCATCATAATCGAGAAGAGCATTAAGAGCGCTTGGCTTATTAGCTATGCAAGTAAACAATAAGGCCACGTCTAATCAAGTTTGACAAAATGCTGCTGAGAACACGATTATGGCCCAAAAGGGAGGGCTGCTTGAGAGTAGAGTGTGTCTATATATTATCTATATATTATCTATATATATATAAATTTATAGTATATGCTGTGAGCTTATCTCGTACACTCGATCTATAACGCTGCGTGCTTGGTAGCTGTTTGGGGCTTATTGAATTCAACTGCGTGGAACCGCAAATGACTTCCGTCGATGCTTCTGCCCCATATGGGAAACCGCAAGCAATTGTTGCGCATTGTGCGCTTACGAAATCTTCGACCAATAAACTAACGGCAATAAAACGAAGCGAACAAACAAATAAAAAATATAAAATACAAAACAAAAAAAAAACGAAGCGAAAAAAAATATGAAAAAAATATTTATATATAATAAAAACTATAAAAAAAAAAGTTGGTATGAAAAACAGTTATTGGCTGCCCGCAGCGCAATAAAACGGATAAATTTTAATTTAGCACTGCATATGCATTGGCCAAAACGATTTGAAGTTAAAGCCAACTTTTGATGCTGAAAACTGTTAAGTGGAGGTGCGAAAGCGCCAACACTTCGACGGCCCGAGAGCTGGAGAGCTTTTGGCCCAAACGGATGCAGCTAGCTTGCTGTGTTGCATATACAACAACAGCAACAACAGCAACAACAGCAGCAACAGCAACAACAACAACAACGAGAATAACAGCAGCAACAACGCTGTGATTTTTGCCCAGTGGGCAACAAAACGACAATTGTCAAGCTTGTAGCGCAAATTATGAAAAAATGTCAGCGTCGAGTGGGCGATTTACAAGCCGGGCCAACTTCTAGATGCTGAGACTTTTAACACTTGGCCACAGCCACGCGATGTCTCATACCCTCTACACATATCCGCTAGCTAATTGGGTATGCTGAAATTTTGAAATCAATTTAATTATTTTCCTACTTTGTTGTTGTTTTCCTACTAATGTTTTGGCTTTGCCGTTGTGTTGAGCTCGTTTATTAAGATAATCAGTAGTTTTTCTTTTAATTTCATGTTTAACACTTGTAATTTTATTTCAGTTGAAGAATCTTTCAAAGTAATTTTGAGCTTGGGTTTTATAAAATTTCCAAAACTACTTAAATTGTAGTCTTCATTTTAATAGGAGATAAGAACCATTTCAACTCTTGTTATTTCTCGTAATTCTTCTTCTAAAATGTCTTGTTGAAATATTATTTAAATCTACTTACTTAGTAAATTCTAGTTAATAATGAAAGTAGACACTCGCTGTAAAATCAGCGTTTCATTCCCATTCGTTCCATTTGAACGTCAAGGGTGCAAAATGATGGTTGTGTGTAGAATTTAACTAGTCTTATTAATTAAAATTTGCCAATACTAATTTCTAGACATTATCTATTGCGCCTTGTAATTTACCAATAAATATCGTATCGAGATCTCTTGTTATTTATGTGCAGTTAATGAAAAGTCGCTCGCTTGCTGCTAGTTGTGGTAATTACAAGGTATTGGACTAGTCGATAACCCCGCCCTCGTGCGAATGCTGCTGCATTTATTTATACAAACAAATGCTCATTGCCTTTGAGAACAACATTAGATTAGATAGTTTGTCTTCGATTGTGTCCGGCAAGAGGCCGCTGGGGCAATTGGCAATTGCCAATTCGCAATTGGCAATAGGCAATAGTGTTGAATCAAATGCATGCAATCTGGCATGACTTTTGGGAAGCTGTTTATTTCTATCTAACGTATTGCATTTGACAACAACTTCATTGGGACCCAGCCAGATACCAGATACCCGATACCAGATACCAGATACGAAGGTCCGAGATGTGAGATGTGAGATTCGAGATGTGAGATTCGAGATGTGAGATTCGAGATGTGAGATTCCAGATTCGAGATTGCAATTGATATGCGGGCCCAGCAACTGTTCAGCCATTTTATCTAATTGCCTTCGCTTAACTGTGCTGATTTATTGTCAGTGATCACTCGTTCTGACCAAGTGAGATACCTCAAAGCCCACCCCACTCTCGCCCGCCACCAAGCCACCCCTGTCCACCTAACATGCCCTTCTTTATGATATTGTTATTGGCGTTGCAATTGTTGCGCTAATTTGTGTGAGACGTGCGGAAATTTCTCATAGGCGCCGAACGAGAGGAGTTGACTATTAGACCTGAATGCTCAGAGCTGTCTACACTCTTCACTCTACTCTGACACCCCTCTCTGCCCCCTCCTTGTGCTCATGTGTTGATGGTTGATGGTCAGTTTTATGGATTGTTCGCCGATCTGCGGTATGTGCGCTGGCAAATGATATTTGCAGCAGGAATTTTTTGGCCAAAGAGCAGAAAAACACAGGCTGCAGAATAAAATAGAAATGTTGCTGATGTTGTTGTGCGGCTCTTTTGCTTTGAGCAGCAGCAGCATGCAATTTGCGCCCCGATTGATGAGTTTTATAAGGCGACCAATTGCAGAACTGGGAATAGTTTGCTAGTTGTCATTAATGCCAACAGACAGACGGATAGACAGACAGACTGTTAGACAGACGGAGCGTAGAACTATATCACTTACTCAACGCGAGTCTGCAATGAGTGTCATACACCAAGTGCAAATTGCATTAATTGATTGGGCAATTACATTGCTTGATGTGATTCGATTTAGGTTTTATAGCAGACCTGAATTCTAAAGATTTATATGATAAAATACGGATTAATTAGCTATTGATTTTTCATTGTAAACGCTTCAGCAACAACAAGGAAAGGCTTTGCCTAATTGATTAGCCATTAATCTCAGTCCGTTTTTAGTGGAACAAAATATTCTTTAGCTGCTCTTGGAACTTTTCTATAATGTAAATATGTCAAATGATTTTTATTTAAGGTTGATTTGTATTATAAACAACAATTCGACTAGTTTTGCGATTTACATTAGAATGCAGAACTAAAGTTGATACATTTCTTTCACAATAAAATCCCGCTTTTTATGTAGGATCTTTACCTGATTTGATGTCTTACAAAAAACTTTGACTTCCTCCCAAGCACGCATCTATTTTACTGAACTTATAACTCAAAATATTTAGCTGCTTATTCTTAAAAAAGGATTTCCCTTTGGAATAATGCTGACTTCAGCCAGACTCTTTTCTGCCGAGCAACGCTGAAGCTGCAGATGTTAAGGACCCTCAAAGTATCATAATTAGTCTAAATTCTCAGCAGATACTTTTGATTTAAGCAAAGATTTTCTTTGATTTGGAATTTATGATTTTTTTCAATTGACTACATTTATTTAATAAATAATATTTAAGCTTAATTCTAATTAGAAGTTAAGCATTTTTAAATGTATATGGAAACTCACCTCCTTTGCTGACAGAGGGTCGGATCCCAGTCCATTCTGCAACCGAAAAGCGAAGAGAGCAAGTAGAAGAAGAAAAAAGAGTGTGTGAAAAATGTGTGTAGCCTAATTATGCAAGCAGCTCTTGGCCAACGAAGGTGTTGGCCAAGTCAAGTCGAGTCAAATCAAGTCGGGGCTTGGGTTTAGGGTCTCTGTTTTCCATAGAGGGCAAAACAAACAGGCCAAGAGGCAAAAGGGAAATGGGAACTAGAGGTAAGAACACAACTTGACACAACAAGGAACTACATAGTTAAGGAGGGTGGATGTAAGAGGCAGGTTTGTGGGGTGAGGAGATGATGGAGAACTGAGAACGGGGGCACATGGCATATGGCGTTGGCGTTGTCGTTGTTTTGGAGTCGAGTGGTGCTTACCATGAAAACCATTAAATTGTAAAACGTCTTACAAAATAATAATTGCCCGCGCAACGTTCTGGCCACGTTACGGAACTGCAACTGCAACTGCAACTGCAACAACTGCAACAACAACGATGACGATGACGATGATGATGACGACGACGATGACGACGACGACGGCGACGACGATGGTGCTTGAAATAATCGCTGCAACTATTGTAGTTAGTCTCTATTGTCGCAGCAGCAGCTGTTGTTGTCGTTGCTGCTGCTGTTGTTGTTGTCGTTGCTGCTGTTGTTGTTGTTGTTGTTGTTGGCGTTGTTACCGTTTGCTTCTGCTGCATGCTACCCGCCAAATCAATGACAACAAAACACACACACTTACACACAACAACAACAACACTGAAGCGCAGGCAGCGAGTGCAACGCACCAAGCGGTCGCTAGTTGCAATTTAAAAATTGGTTCCTCTTCTTCTTCTTCTTTTTTTGTTTTGTGTTTTTGTTTTTAGCGACGGCGTCGCAGCCAACGCGGCGTCAGCAGCAGCGACGTCGACCGCCGCATTGTGCAAAAAGATAAAACAAAAACAACAACAGCGAAACTTGCAGACGAAGCGAAAAGCTTTTCGGTGCGTGACGCGTGCAGAAAGCGGGTGGCGTTGGGCAATCAGGGAAAGAGACGGGAGAGAGTGAGACGGGGAGACGGAGAGACGGAGAGAGAGAGAGAGAGAAGGAGCTTGGTAAGCTTAGGCCATAGGCAAATCACATTTGATGAGGCGGCAGGGCAGAACCGTTAGTTGTTGTTGTGTTTTTTTTTGTTGGTTGTTTGTTGCTGTTCCGTTTGTTCGCTTTGTTCCTATGATTGCAGCTGGGTTTGCAAGGCGTCGTAGAAACGCAATGGAAACTCATAAATACATCCGGTGGGTCACTTATTAGCACTTAGTGCGACAGCTTCCTGGGCGGGGGTGTTACACACACATACACACACGTCGCACACACAGATACACACATTGACAATGTGTTTTTCTCTTGCATATCCGCTCAATTGCCGCGGGCGCAACAAACAGCAATCAACACAACAACAACAACAGAGACACACACAACACACGCACACACACGCGACGACGATGCACACTTAATTCGATCAACAACCGTTGTTGTTGTTGTTGTTGTTGTTGCTACTTTTGCTGGTGTTGTTGCTGTTGCTGTTGCTGCTGGGGCGTTGTAATCACGCGCTAGTTGCTGTCGTTGTTGTTGTAGTTGTAATCAGTAAGAGGCTAGGCACATGCTACGCCCCAACGGGCTGCCGCGTGTTTTCTACGTTTTTCTCTTTTTTTTTCAATTTATTGACACTCGTCTCTACTCACTAAGTATATGTTTTTATGTATGTGTGCGTGTGCAAATTACAGCACATCCGTCATTTTAATTTCACTTAAAACGCCATTTAAATCAAACGCTAAACGCAAATAACACAACGAACAACGCACGCACGAACGGACGCACGCACGCACGCGCAGAGCAAAAAATGTAGTCGAAGATAAGCCGGCAAAAAACGTAAACAGTGCAAAACGACGGCCTGCAAGCGAAACGCATGGGAATTGAAACACAGGCGCAGCAAAAGGAGCAAATGTTGTACCGAATTGAGTCGAAGCGCGACACACGACCGACTAGCGCCACGTTCGCTGCTGGAATGAAACGTAGCCCAGCGCAAGACAAGCAAACATGTTGCGAGCACGTTGCTAACGAACGAAGCTTGTATGAAGCACGGTGTGCGATTGAGTGTATGTGTGTGTGCGTGTGTTTGTATGTGTGTGCGCCAGTTTGTTTGTTTTGTTAAGGTGGAGCTAGGCTAAAATGACAAGTTGGCGCGCATATTATTGGGTGGCCAACTGTTTACATTGTCTCACACACATGCATAGAGCACACACTCATACATGTATGCGAGACAATGTAAACAGTTGGCCACCCAATAATATGCGCGCCAACTTGTCATTTTAGCCTAGCTCCACCCTTAACAAAAACAAACAAACTGGCGCACTCACTACAAACACACGCACACACACAGAGAGAAGCGTGACAAGTGGTTTTTTGTTTTTGTTTTCTGCTATTTTTGGCGTAGGTGTTTGTTGGCGCCAACGTTTCTCATTGGCTGCTCGACGCTCGCCGCTCGTCAATTAATATAACAGCACATAAAGCTTTTGCTGTGCATGTGTTTGACAGCTTTTTATCAACAAGGCTTGTTAAATGTGTGTGTTTTTTTGTTGGTTTTCTTGTTGAAGCTTAATCTTGGCAACTGCATCTACGCAAACGAGGCGAATTCGGCGCTGCGCAAGCTGTGGGAGTTTTTTTCGCGCTCTCTTTTTTTTGGCTATTCGCTTTGACTGCACCGTTAGCCGGCTGATCCACTTTTCCACGCGCTTTGACGACCATTTTTGGTAACAATAAATCGTGATACATCATCAAAAGTCAATTCAAATATGTAGACAACTTTAGTTTGTTTTTGCTTTGCGCGGCTCTGCTCTGCTCTGCTTGCTGACATGCCGCAAATGCCAGCAAGGCAACAACAAAAAAATATTTTAATTTTAATTGATTGTCGAGCGAGATTTACGTGCACCAAAAGTTGCTTCTCACGCTAACAAACACACAAACACACAAATACATACATACATACATACATACACATCGCTGATGCAGGATTAGGATTGCAATTGTCAAAATGGAAAGCACGCAAAATATACAAAAAAAAAAAGAGGAAGGCAGAAAAACTTTTAAGTGCGCACATTTCTTATAAGAAAATGCATTTTTTGCTTTTTAACGTAAAGTTTTTTGTTTTGATTTTTTTTTGTTGCTTTTCGCATCTTAAATCAACATAAACGCAATTGAAATCAATATACTACGTGACTTAAGCGTGGCCAATGCGTAAAAAAAAAACGGCAAATCACTCAAAGCAAAACAGAAAAAACACAACAAAAAAAAAACAAAACCAACAAAAAATGCCAACAAAATCAATCAAAAACACAACAAATGATGTGCCATAAAAGCACAGCTAACTAGAAAGTGCTGCATACTTTTGAGAGCTGCGCTAAAAAGTTGCCATAAAAATGGGAATTTATGACTCAAATTTCCTTTTGCTTTTCCTTATTGCAGTCCTTTATTGCATTATGTTTGTTTCTCTTTCACACGTTTGCGATCACTCGGTTAGCTAAGACAACAACCGTACCGCTTTTTATGTTGGCCGCGCCAAAGTATGCAATGCATTTTGAAACGAAGAGATTTTGTTCTGATCAATTTATTAGAAATAAATTAAATTAACAATCAATTAACATGGTATAAAGATAAACGCATTATTATTGGTCATATACTGTTGGAGTTGCCCGCCAGGTAAGCAAACCCGAGCTGAGAAAAAACCCTCGCAGTGGTTTTTCTGCAGGACCTTCGCTCGCTTTTGGGTTAGGTAAGCGCGTCAGGACACGAATCCGGCCGTATTTTCCAGCGGAAGTTCGCGTCGCGCATTAATCGGGTATTTTTGCTCCGCAGGCAGGCGGATAATTATATCCGGAAATTTGACTTTCTCGCTCGTATTTTGTGGATTTTTCTGTGTGTTTTTCTAGTTGAGATTTATGACTGTCTAGTCGCATGTGTGTGTGTGTATGTGTGTGCGCGAGTGTGTCTGTGTGTGTGTGTGGGAATTTACTAATTACATGAAACCTAATGAAACCTTTTTGTGGTGTTTCCCCATTTGGATTTTTAATGCAGGGTTGAGGACTTAAGTTCCACGACTCGACAACTAAATCGAAATAAATTATTAGATAATCGACTGGATAAACTTAGATTAACAAGAATGTGGCTAAAAAGCTAAAAGATCCATAGCTAAATCCACCAAAATATCGAAACTATAACCATTATTTTTAATGATATACTTAATTTAAGTTAAATCATAATTAAATTCACGTATTAAAGATGACTTAAGTTGGTCTTTAAACATATACTTCTCAATAACAACGCCCAACTTTATTAAAATAATTTTAATACTTCTTTCAATGACAAATTAACTAATTTCATGCATATTATTGAAATAAAATCTTTAAATTAAGCATTTAAATTTCTTATCTTTCGAATATTATTATTCCAAGCTTAGCTTAAAAATACAAGCTCAGATTTATCATTATTTTTCCCAGTTTCTGCGCTATTTTTTATTTGTTTTTAACTTCTTGGCCATTTCTTACACATTTCCCAGTTGCTTTTTATTTACAAAGAAATCGCAAAAATAAAACCAAAACCAAAAAAACAAAAGAAATAACCCAAGTCTCTCTCTCCCCCTTTGTCCCTCTCCCTCTCCTGTCTCCCTCTCTCGGCGACTAAAAACCCAGGCGCCGAAAATTGCAGCCGCTGAAAATCCAAGAGCGAAAGCGAATTGAGCACTGACGTCATACCTGCCGCAACGGCCGCCATAGGCCCAGCAGCAGCGCTGCGTACGTTTGCGTGCGCGAGAGCGAGACAACTGGTGTGTGGCGCACGCAGCGAAGAGCGAGCAGCGAATGGCAATTGAGCTCTGCGCAAAACATCGATCTGAGCAATGGCCGGCAAGGATCGTGCGTCAGTTGAGTTTCGTCATTGCCGCTGCGCGCACACACATACCACAATTAACGGTAAACTTAGATCGCGGGGCGTGAAATATATAAAAAAAAAAATATTTAAAAAAAAATATAATATAGAAATACTTTATATGCAATTGTGCAACGTGTTGCAAAGTGAAACATACAAAATTGAGTATCAAACGATGAGCGCACGCTCCGCGTCCCCCAAGGTGCTGCTGGACATTAGCTACAAGCCAACGCTGCCCAATATTATGGAGCTGCAGCACAATGTCATCAAACTCATCCAGGTGGAGCAGCAGGCCTACATGCAATCGACGCCACACTACATGCAACACCAGCAGCTGCAGCAGCAACATCCGCAACAACAGCAACAATATGCGCCACTGCCAGCGGATTATGCGGCATATGGCATAACGGAACTGGAGGATACGGACTATAATATACCCAGCAATGAGGTGCTCAGCACCAGCAGCAATCACAGCGCTCAAAGCAGCCTGGAGCTGAACAACAACAACAATCAAAACAACTTTGAGCAACAGCAACAACAGCAGCAGCAGCAGCAGCAACAGACGACGGCAGCAACAGTTGCTGCTGCTGCTGGTGCTGTTACTGCTGCTCCACATGGCTATATCCTCAATGAGCATGGCAAAAGGGCGCGCGGCAGCAGCGACTACAACGATTGCCAAACGGATGTGTTATCCTTGCAGCCCGAGCACAAGAAACTGTTGCAACAGCAGCAACAGCAACTCTATGTGGACTATTTGCCCACCACGGTGGATGAGGTGGCAGCAGCGCAGACCCAAACTCAGACACAAACTCAGGCACCAACAACACAACAACAACAACAGCAGCAGCAGCAACAAAATGGCTGCATTTCCCCACTTTCGCACTCCCATTCGCACTTCGATTTTGCCGGCGATGAGGAGTTGCAGGATCACAAGCCACATATCTTCAAATATGGCATCTATCCGCAAACAATTGCTCCCTTGCAACAACAGCAACAGCAGCAGCAGCAGCAACAACAACAGCAGCAGCAGCAGCAACAGTTGCATTTTCAGAGCAGCTATAGATCTGGGTAAGTGAAATCTATATATATAAATATATATATTATCTGAGTTGAGATCTTGTGCAGATAAATGCATCAAGTTAACAGTTGTTGGCATTAAATCTGAACAATCTTACGATTGTTGCTATGACAGCTAAAGTAAAATCCTTTTGAGTCACATCCTTTATGAAAAATGGAAATATAATATTCAGAAAATTCGTGATTTTTTTTGTTGACATTCGAAATTTGTTTAAAAAACACTGAAAACATGCCTGAAGTCAGCAAAAAATATAGTTAAATTATTGAAAGACAATCTTAAATAGTTAATCCCAAAGAAAATATAGATAAGATTATAGGCACTCTCATATCGATTGACAATAATACATCATGTCTGTATATATATGCAGTCCACATTCTTTTATTATTATATTATTTACATCAATTATTTAAAGTGCATTTTATACAATTTTTTATATGTATTTAAATGGTTTGAAATTAGAATTAATAACTTTGCCAAAACGATTTAAATACATATAAGAAAATACTTACAGAAAGTAACTTTTCTCTGAAATTGTAGCTGGAATTATATCAATTATCAATCATTAATTAATCAAACAAAAATCAGTAAAATATTAATGAAATTCCATGCACATTTAAGTTTATACAATTTGACAGACAATAACAATATATATATATATATTTATAGTTGCTATCTCAATTAAGCATTAATTAAATATATCGATCCTTGGGCACTTTCACATTACAGCCAGAATTACGATGCCTACGAGCCAGCAAATAGTCTGAATGGCAGCACATATTCCAGCTCCGATCGTGATGATATGGAGTATGTGCGCCAAACGGCGCTCAGCTCTGTGGGTGGCTATGCCAAGAATGAGGATGAGTTGGAGGATATGTCGCCGACGTGTCTGGTCGATGATAGCAGCCTGATGGATGCCAGCGATGTGGCTGGGAAAGCGTTCCGCAAACCGCGTCGCCGCCTGAAACGCAAACCGAGCAAAACGGAGGAAACGGACGAGTTCAGCAATCAGCGGGTGATGGCCAATGTGAGGGAGAGGCAACGCACCCAGAGCCTCAACGATGCATTCAAGTCGCTGCAACAGATCATACCCACCCTGCCCAGCGATAAGTTGAGCAAAATCCAAACACTCAAGCTGGCCACAAGGTAAGTCTAGTCTCCTCCAGCCGGGATTTTGCTGAGATACCTGGTCTTAACTACAAAGCTGGAAATTTGGTGGCAATTTCAACAAATATGCATATATTAAAAAGTATTTTATGTGGCCAAGAAACAAGTCCAGTTCTTAAAGAAGACACAAACGCTTCACAAACAAATTTGAATTTAAATTCAAAAGTCATTTTTAAATTCATTTAAAATATTGGTAAAAATATCTCATTTTTTCGTGCTTAAAATATTCGCACTTCAAGTTCATTCAAGTCTTAATTTATTTACTTTTGAATTCAGCTAAAATATTCAAATTTCTTCTTGCTTTAAATATTTACACTTGAAGCTCTTTCAAGAATAATATTTATAAAAAATATCTACAATCTTAATCTTGCTTATTTCAATTATTTATAGATATATTTAATATGTTTACTAATCAAGCTGTTCGCAACTCTTTTCTTGTTTATAGATACATTGATTTCCTGTGCCGCATGCTTAGCTCCAGCGATATATCGCTGCTGAAGGCGCTGGAGGCGCAATCATCGCCAGTATCGCCGGGCTATGGCAATAATAATATGAATATTAATGCCAGCACACTGCTTAGTGCCGCCAATGGGGCCGAGGCTGATCTCAAGTGTCTGCGCAAGGCGAATGGAGCACCCATCATTCCGCCCGAGAAACTCAGCTATCTGTTTGGTGTGTGGCGCATGGAAGGCGATGCCCAGCATCAAAAGGCATAGGCAAAGGGCTGGGGAAGTAGTCGGACTTGGAGTATTAACAGGAGGAGGAGCAGGAGGAGGAGGAGTCGTATCGATTGCCATTGGGGCTTCCAGTTACTGAACAAAATGAATACACACAGCGTGAATAATTCCAATGCAAGTGCCAAAATCGAGCACTTGCAGATCTTTCCATATCTTATAGATGACTAAGCTAAACACACATTATTTAAACAAAATATGAGAAAAAAAACACAAAGAAAAAACCAACTATTGTTTAGGTATAATTTTATGTACTAGCGCTAACTAAATTAAATTGTATAAATTAAACAAAACTATAAAAAAAAAAACAACAAACAAACACAATTTTTTCATTTCTTATTTCTTTCTTTTTGCCCCAACAAATTAGGCGCGAAAATGTTCGACGTTGTCGCCATTGGGGGGGTCTCGACAATATATGCAATATACATAAATTCACATACATTTATGTAGGATACATACATACATACATACAGACGACGACGACATACTTAGAGCGTAACGTCATGCCACAGACAGGCGGCAGCATTTATGTATCTCAAAGATACAAAATGTTGTATCTGTCGCTCTCTCTCTCTCTTGCTCTCGCTCTCTATCTAGCTGCTTCATGGGAAGAAAAACAAAAATCGAAAATGGCAACCGGAGACGGCAAGAAAGAGGGTTGCAAGCTGGGCAGGGGGGAGGAACACCATCCACATCCGGTGATTTATGTGCATTTGTTTAATTCTCTTTTTTTTGTTGTTTTCTTTGTTTTTTGTTTTTGAGGTTTTCTTTGGAGTTGTTTTTAATTTTTGTTTTTATTCCGCTGCTGCACATAAAAAGTGTTTACAATGTGTACACAAAAGTATTTATGTCGCCAAAACTGGCTATTTAAAATGCTCATAATTAGCTCAGTCAGTTGATTTAGCCCGTGGAAAGCGCTTCAAAGGCGAACCAAATATCATTTTTAGTTGCATGACTTAATTGCTTTTTAAATGACAGCTGGCATGAGCAGTTTGAGTTATATACAAAGTACGATATCCCATAGATATATATATATATATATATATATATAGACATACAGTACAGAGATAAATATCCAGCCAGACCAGCCATCGTTGACAGGTTGTTGCAGCTACTGCACAGCTCATAAGTGGGCTAGATCAAGAACATATATGCATATATATATATATATATATATATATACAAATAGATACTCACTTTGCACACTTGTGAGTGTTTTTGAATAAGTGCTACTAAAGTGTGTGTGCCCATCTATCTTTCGCTATCTAAATCGTTTGAGGTGTCAGCTGAAAGGGGTTCATTTTGAACCTAGAAAGTCAAGTGTTTGTATCTTAAATGGAACAAGCTTCAAATTAGATGTCATTTAAGGGTTGAGCATTTTGAAAAACTATAATTTTTCTTTCTTTTAAATGAAATTAATCTAGAAGAAAGTATATTATATAGAAAGTATTGGAAATCATATTCAATTCAGTTTTAGATGTAGAACGATCTCTAAAATGATGTTTATACTTTGTCACTTATAACATGAATTTCAACAGAAAATCCGTTTGATCAAATTTAAATGCATTATTAATCTAGAAGCCAATCCATTCATAAGAAATTATCTTTTTTTTTTAAGATTTTAAGCACCACAATTGAATTTTGATGGATAGACTTCTTACATGAATTTCTAACTGAAAAAGTGTTTTGCAATATTAATCTAGAAACCAAACCATTCACAAAAATGTATTGTTTTTGAAATTAAATTCAGTTTCGTCAAAGATATGACTGTAGAATGTTGGGAATCATATCCATGTGGATATTTGAGGCTAGACTTTCAGCAAGAACATCATTTAAAAAAATAGTTTTTAAACATTGATGCAGTTTTAATCCAGAGGACAAATCATTTATAAAAATATATTGCTATTGAAAATTGGCTTGGTTTTGACAAAGTTATGGCTACAGATGAATTTGAACCGTTCCCAAGAGGATTTGAAGTTGAAACTTTTAACAAGAATTTCGACTGAAAGTTGTGTTTTCAAATTATAATGTAGCATTAATTTAATGAACAAATCATATTCAAAAAGACATTATTTGTTCAAATCAGTGGACAAATCTTAATCAGTTTGGATCAATCTTTAATTATAAAGTCAATATCCTAAACTCAATCAGCGATTGCACTTGACTTTAACCCCTACAAATAAATGAGAGAATTTTGAATATTTTTCTTGTTATTGGATACCAAAAACTCTTTCTGTTTTCGAAAGCAAGACAACATTTTTAGTTCCACTCAAATGCAATATCGAGCTAGAGTTTCCCTGAAACGAAGTTCTTCAAACAGAATAGAATAAAGAAAACCACCTTGATGCGATGCGGTGACTACCCCAACTCTGAAACTGTCAACGCCCCCCAAGAAAAATACGTAGTTGATTTCTTTACCCATGTTTTGAATATTCAGGCACCTAAAAAGCAATCGAAGATCATCTCAAATAACGCGGCGCATAAATTGTGTAACTAATTTTAGAAAATGGGCATGAGCTGCTCACACACACACACACACACACACACACACACACACACACACACACACACACAATACACACACGATCCTCACAGCAAGGACGAGCCATTTTCAAATTTTCTTTCTTTTATTATTTTTGTAGGTCTTTGTTTTTTTGCATGGCCAATTCACATGGCTGTTAAGCAGGATTGCTTTGCGTTGTTGTGCGCACATGGGTAATCAATGGCATGTGCTATGCGCCTGCGAATCACAGCGAGGACCTGGCCAAGGACCTCATGTCGTTTACCCACCAAGTTTTCCCAAACATATGTGACAGCAAACAGCTCAGCTCTGAGTTCGACTCGTAAATGAAATGAAAACAATGCGTGTGGGAGTATGCGAAGGATGCGTGTTGTGCTATTGTCCTTTCTATTCTTTTCTTTTCTTCTTTTTCTTCCAACTCGGCTGAGGCATTCCCTGACTTTAAGTAGGCGCCGCCTGGCAGCGCCTAATGGTTCCCTTTGACTTTGTAGCTATGTTTTTTTTATGTTATTCTGATTCATTTTCAGCGCTTCATTCAAAATGCCTGCAAATGGGCGTTGAACCAAGCAATGCTCATATAAATCATAATGATTGTTTCCTCTTTTTTTAATATTTATTTTGTAGTTTGCCTGCCATGTTCTAGTTTTAATTAGTTGCAGTTTTTCACTGGAAGTGAGTCGACATGAATGAACATTAAATTTATCTACACAAATACTAAAAATGTTGTACTAAATAGCCATAATCGCTGAATGTACAAAGAGAAACCATAAAGCTATTCATTTAAGACTCATATTTGCAATGTTTTCAAAGAAAACTTTAACAGCATATTTTAAATAGTTTTGGTTGTTTGTTTAAGCTTATAAAATGTATATTTATTTATCCCAGATATGGATAAAGTGCCATCAAACTCGAAGAAAGAAATGTGTGAGGAAAACTCAGCTTGCAGTAAGACTAAATAATATTTAAATCGGCAATCGCAGAATATAACTTAGGGAAATGCACACAGTATATGTTAAATATTAATGGAATTTATTTATGATTTCTATGAATGGCTATATTTATTGGCAAAACCATAAAAACAATATCTAAAAACAATTGCGGGTAGTTGAAGAGCGCAGACAAACATATATATATATAGATACATGCCCCCATATATTGGTGGCAACACGGTGTGTCCAAAAAATATACGAAGCGTTTCAGATTTCAAAGTGCGAGTAACGAACAACGGAAGCCCGAAACGTAGATCGGGCACAAGCAGGAGATGGAGCAGGAGCAGGAGGAGGAGGAGGCGGAGGCGGAGGAGATGGACTGCTCCTGCATTGTGTGACCCAGAAGGCACCCGTACTCATTTGTGGCCCGCTGATTGATTTTTAGTGAGAAGCAGCGCTCCTCGCGCTCTGTCTGCCCCACACAGTTGGTAGTTAGTAGAACATCTGCTTCATGCAACGCTGCAAGCGACAAAATATGCACAGACTGAGTAATTAAAATCAATATAGACTCGTTTTTCGAGGTGTTCACACACATTTTTCAGTTCGAACTGGGCCCAACAACAGCCAAATGCAATCAACAGCAAATGTAGTCTGCCAGCCTCGTCTTCTTCTTCTTCTTATTGTTGTTGTTGCTGTTGTTGTTGTTGTTGTAGTTGTTGTAGTTGTTGTTAATATTATTGTTGCGAGTGCATTTGGCAATCAATCAACGATCAAAGTTCATAAGTTGACCCAGCTGACTAATGGCAAACGCCCGACTTGCCATCGAACGTCAACAGCAGCAGCAGCAGCAGCAACAATCAGAGCAGCAGCAGCAGCAACAACAACAACAAGTTACGCTAATGTACGAGTCGATCTAATTTGTATACATTGACGTACACACTTACATCAATATGTATTTTAGTGTATTAGTATCTGCGTACATCCAATAAAAAAAAAGACTTGTAAAAATGTTGCTGCTGACGCACACTGAACGACTGAGAATTACCCTGTACATATTATACAATTGGAGAATTTCGTATGCATAATTTTTAGCAGAAACAGCTCGTTTTTAGTAGGTTTTTTCACAAGTCGATTTCAAAGAAATATTTTAACTGGTTTCAGTCAATGTTGTTAGCTGCCAGTAAACATTTTTTGGCAACTCCAGAAAGTATGCTATATGAAATAAAACACGTTTAAAAAATGATTAAAATGCAATGCATGCGAAATCTATATATAAAAAAAATATAAGCAAACCAATTTATATGAAATCAATATATTAAAATGGAAGAATTTTAAAAAGTTCTTTTCACACATTTTAAATTATTTTAAGGATCGGTTTCTCACTCACTCTCTCTCTGTGTCTCTCTCTGTCTCTCTGGGATGTCCTATCTAATATGTATCTTTTCTCGCCATCTCTCTCCCTCTCTCTTTTCTCTCTCTCTCTTAGATCAGTATATATCTTGTCTACAAACTTACCCATGTAATGTTATTATTAAAAGAAGCTTAACCATCCCTCTATCTCAATCTACCCCTCTCTCTCCCCTTCTCTCCTTTCGCCAAACCCTCCCATGCAGTGGATATACCCTCTAGGATCATTATTTTTAGCGTAGTGTATAAAAATCGAGTAGTCGCACAGAGGCGTGAAAGGGGGGTGGCAACTGAAAACAAACCGACCAACCAACCGACCGCTTGCCTGCCAGCCAGCCTGCCTGCCTGACTGCCCCTCCGTACTGTGTCCGTCCGTCAATTTGTCCGTCCGCTTTGGTAGCGGTTCTCTCGCGTCGAGCGCATAAATATTTTGCTTTTATATTTTTTCAGGCGAAGATGGAAGATGCGCACAGCACACCAACACACACACACACACACACATATAAGCCCCTATATGTAGTTGTAGTTGTTGTCTATAAACAAAAAATGGGTCCATAAAAAAGCACAGAGCCCAAAGACGGACAGCGACGCTGGCAGCGACGTCACGTCAGCGTTGGCGGTCGCCAAACGAATAAAAACAAAAAACAAAGCAACAAAACAACAACAACAACAACAACAAATCGCCGCACTTTTTGTTTATTTACACAAAAAGATTTTAGTGACTCGGGTAGGCAGCCAGGAAGTAACTAAGTAAAATGGTTGTTTGAACTCCCCAGCCAAAAAACAAAACGAAAAAATGAAAAAAAATGAAAAATAAAATACCAAAAAAAAAACCCGTTTACAGAGTTGCTTTTGCAAAATGGTTGCCTGATTGGTAGTTGTGCTCGTCGTCGTCCTGCTCGTCATCAGCCTCTGCTTATTTCTTCACAGTTTTCTGGGAAGAGTGTCCATCATTTGCATCATTTGATGTAAACGCTTGACACTTTGCGCCACATCCAGAGGCGAGCAAGCCGCAAGCAGGCAACATCTGGCGGCAAACCCGAAAAGATTAATTTCTGACAGCGCGGGAGCGTCCCCAAACGCAAATCATACATGTATACATACATAATGTATATGTATATATATATATATATGTATGTATGTGTAGAGTTTTATAGTTGCTGATGGACACTTTGATGCGCGTTTTCCACGCCACGCTTTTCACGGTCGCGCATCCATCAATTCGTTGCTGCCGCCTGTCGTAATTTAAGACATTCAAATAGAAATGAATTCGTATTACATTTATTTTGTTTTATTTCTTTCTTTCTTTTTTGGGTGCCGGGCGTCAATGGGTCTCTAAAACTAATCATGTGCCAAGCGCGGAGACATAAAACATCGCTGCCACTTGACAATATAGGAATATATATATATATATACATATATTCCTCTCTCTCTTTGTTGGATTTGCTGTTTAGTACTTCATTATAAGCGCACTAACGATGTTATTTTAATGATCTCAGACCAAAGAATCCACTTGACAAAATGCAGCAGCAGCAGCAGCAACAACAACAACAGCGCCTCAAGTGTTTCACACAAAAGGGGCAAGAAGTCTCTGAAGGGTAACACATATAAATACATATTTATATACAGCCCTACATGCACATATTTATATATATATACATATATATATTTATGTATATACTTTGCTGCATTTCATTTTCCCATTTTTTTTTTTTTTTTTTGCACAGGCAGACATATTTATGCGCCTGGCAAATGTGTGAAAAAGTCCGTTTGAATGTCGGGCATTTCTTTGGTGCCTTGTTAAATTTGTTGTTGTTGTTGTTACTGTGTATATATAGAGTTATAGTACTTATATATCTGGTCGGGGTACTGTTGATTGGCATAGCTATAAAAATTCTTAGTGCCCCCATGGATGAGATGCCATTGAAAGTTGTTGTCGAAAGATGATGCCCAATGTTAGCCAGGTATTCCCACATCAAAAGGGGAATATGCAAATAGTGTGTAAATCTGAAGCAAGTCCAAGTTAAACAATAATTAATCAATATTATATTAATTTGTTGTTTTATAATTAGTCACACACTTGATAAAAAAAACTTGCATAAAATATTAGTCTGCAAATAAATTATTTAAACAAGCATTTAATATTTGTATTTGTTTATATTTAGCTAGTTGATTGAACTTTTGCAAATTGCTGCGAGATGCACTAAACCTGTAAATGATTCAGTTGATGTTTCTATACACAAATAGTTTATATATAGTAAGTATACCTATTGCAGGGAAAAACACTGTGACGTCCCTGATTAGCTGCCATATTTTGTAATCGGTTTGCAATAGAACACAACTGCATAAATTGATGGGAAAGCCGATTTGTCGATGAAACGTAATTAATACCCATTAAAGAAGAGAATAGTGTCGGAGCTTGCTCGACTAATCAATGCAGTTGCTTAATCAATATGAGTAACTATTTATTATCAGTTTATTCTTACTACTAATACTTATATTGCTGATATTCGTTATTCAACATAATTCCAATAAGTGCTGGCAACTTCAGTTTTGCTTTTGTCTACAGATATTCATTATTTATTTTCGTCTTAAACTCCAAATCATGTGTTTTGCCATTTACAATTAACCTCGTTTCAAAATCCCCGATGAGTGCTTGCAATGCATTTGCGCGCTGCTCTTGAGACAATTTAGGCTAGTCATGCAAGTCTGCAGAGCGAACAAAATATATATATGTATGTAAATTGTGTGTATGTACAAATGTGCGTATGCTGTACAAAATCTAATAAGCATGTATGTATGTAAGTGCATGTTAAGCTTTGCTCTTGCACTTGTCTGCACACAGGGAAGGGAGAGGGAGCAAAGCAGCGACAATGCAACGCATGAATTGTTTGTATAAGAGAGATAGAGAGAGAGTCAGTGATGGAGAGAGGGAGAGAGACAGTGAGAACGGGAGGGAGCAAGCGTCGAAAGAAGAACACAAAAAAGAATGCCGAAGAGTGCAGAGTGAAACACGTGTTTCGAATTAAATGCAATCGTCTCTTCCCCTGCACGTCTCCCCCCACACCCCCTCCACCTTGCACTAAGTCAACCATCTACACCACTCTACTCGGCTGCGTGCAGAATTTCTAATAGCAATTTCTTTGGCCTCTCTTTTTCGCTCGCTGTCTTCGCTGGGCGACATTGTGCGATGTGCCTTTTTACGTCCCTTGCTGAAATGTTAACGGCAATTGCTGAGCGAAAGACAAACATATAAAAAAGCAGTGTGAACAAATACAATAGACGGGAATACCCTACAAAATTACACTCAAAAGTATATCTACAAAGTAATAGTAGTAAAAATATACAAAAAAAAACTTTCCTTTCAATTTTTACATTATGCATTTATTATTATTTCTATTTAAATTGTTGTGTATTCGTGTCGAGTTCTTTGTGGACTTCGAAACAGCAAATAAAATTCAGTTCCGCATAATTAAATATTAGACGAATTTAAACAGGTTTTGTATGGTTTATATTTTTTGTATTCTTTAAATGAAATAAAAACAGGAATATTAACCGGCAGCCAAACAAGTTACTTAACGAGCCACACTGATTACAGGGTATATTTGCAAAGCAGCAATTTGCAAGTGCGTGCAACAATATGAAAATATGCAGCCAAGGAGATAAAAACTTCAATCAAAACCAGCAATCAAATTGTGTCTGGCGATACTTAATAATAACAATGCAAACGCACACAAATACAAACACACACACAAACACACAAACACACACATACAGTTGCAGCTATGCGGCGAAGTTAACATTGTTTCAACCTGTTGTCGACGCTGACGCTGACGTCGACGTCGACAGCAACAGTTGCTGCTTTGGCCTTTTTCAAGCCAAGCTTTTGAGCCGCAGTTGACGAGCTGAGCTGCTGGCCTAAAGACGCGAAACCGGCTGAAACCGACTGAACACAAAACATGCTGTAAATTTGCAACCAAATTTGAATGTGCAACAATAAAAGTTCTAAGTGCGTGAAATATATTTCTGTAAGCTTCAAATAATATATTTGCAACAAAAAACAAACAACTCAACTCAATTTTTGACTTAAATTGAGTTGGTTTGTGCTATTTCTCATGGCTTATCGATTTATATCTTAATCTGTGCTTATTGTCGGCATATAAATAAAGTGCAAAAAAGCAAAAAAGCATCGTGAGTGAAACAAGAGAAATGAACTCAGTGAAAGTGAAGTAGTCTCATCATCATTATCAGCGAACAGCGAAGAGATTGTTCAAGTTGTTATGGCCCGTTGTTGGCTTGTTGTTGCTGTTGTTGTTGTTGTTAATGATGCTGCCTGCTGCTAATGGGATTTGGGCTCCGTAATTGTGATTGCAACTGAAACAAGGAAACGACGCCAACGACAATGACAACAAACAATACTGAATGTTTGCATGTGCAAATATCACAAACAGCACAAAGCAAATGCAGATTTCGACTAATCTTTCAGCGAACAACCTGCCAAAAGGCTGCAGCTGTCGTTCATGCGTACAAGTATCGAGATATGAGCTATGTTTATGCATGATAGAGCCTGTGAAATAGAGCATTAAATCAATTGAGCGAGAAGCGAATAGTAATTAGTTGCTCATCACAGCATACTTAGCTTTTCTAATGTTTTTGCGATTTATATATGTATTAGTTGTTCATGGATTAGAACTATCTGAAAAAAAGTTATTTAATCTGCAAAAGAAAGCTTGTTTTCGATAAAGTCATGACTCATGATGACTCTTTCATGTCTAAACTCAAGGATGAGTCTAAAATAAATGTCAACCACATCAAATGATCATAAATATTTGTGTAAAATCCGCTTGAATAACTTGGTTTTTTGAAGCAGTATATTAGGCAATAAGTATAATAAAACTTAACACATAGTTTCTTCATAAATATTACCATAAATATACATATATATATATATATATATGTATATACGCAAATTGAAAGTCTACAAAATAGGGTTGGGCAACGCTTTAAACAGTTTTAAATCGCATTTGAAACAAAATGCTTCCCATTTATCTCACCTTAAGCGCACTGGCTTGAACTTTAAGGTTCAAGTCATAGGAAACATTAAAAAGCAATCAAAATAAACAGTTTTAATTCAAGTAGTTTATAACAGCAGCTACGATGCCAGCAGATCGTAAAAAGGGCGTTTAATGAGCTGCTGAAATTGCATCCGTCCATGCAAAATAGCCAAAAACTTGATAGCCAAACCTAAACGCATAAATAAAATTCAGCCACCGTCAGCCAACAACCGGCAACTGGCAACTGACAACTGACAAAAAGCATAAAGCCCCTCCCAAACAAAAGGAAAATAAGGTGTTTAAAATTCACCTTGAGTCTAACCAAAATAAAAGAGCCCAAGTCGCAGCCTCCACTTGCGGAGCCACAAACAACAACACCAAAAAAAAGAAACAACAACAAAAAAGGCAATCTTTCTCTGTGCCAGTTGGCCACAATTGGAGTTCACAGCTCGGCACCGGCTAATTACCCGCAATTTCATTTGAAAAGTAACAAATAAGGCAAAGCAGCAAAGAGTAACAAATGCTTAACTTAATTACCCGCAGGTAGCCTGCTGCTCTTAATCAACACTGTTAATCGACTGTTAAGCCAACTGTTAACCGGCTGTTAAAGTTAATCAGATCGCAAAATGAATGATGCTGTTGCCCCTGGAAACGGTTCGACAGCCTTGAACTCCACACAGGTAAACTACAGATGGGAACGTACACCTATCATTATTATATGTATATATTTATATATATATATATATATATATATATATACAGCTCTTTTTTTTTGACTTTGTGCTTAATCTGAAACCAACCAAGTGACTTTTGCGCTACAGAGCACCAAAAATGCGTATCTGCTAAACCAGTTTTTTTCCACGGATGCTTGTTTTGTATTTTTTTATACTGTGTAGGCCACAAATGGGTTAGCGGGTTTTGTTCAAACTCACCTGCAGCATGTAACAAAACAATCAGCAAAGAAGACTTTATTGACCCAGTTTATTACGTAACCCTCAACTGCAATTTTGTTTCCCAATCACTCATCGATTTTGGTTAGTTATTAAATGTAGTTCAGGGTCATATGTCATGTTAATTGCCCCCCTCATCACAACTACAAGTACAGGGTATTAAACGGGCTAACCCCCTTTGCAAGTGCAACACATTTTATTCTTTTGTATTTGGGTTTGTTTTTGCTGCTGGCAAATAGTCGCACATAGTGCAGATAAGCATCTACAGACAGACATAGTTTTCAGTTAACTGAAACTTGTTTCAGTTTAGGTTGGCAAGCGATTCAGTCGCATCTTAATTGTGATGCCGTCGTTTATTTATTATTATTATTGGTTGACTGGGTTTGAAAGTCAAGTCCATGGCGTAGGTCAACACAAAACTTGTTGACACAATGCCAATTTTCTTCTGTTTTGAGTGCTGGCCAGTAAAACTTTAAAGTAGCCATTTGCCTAAAGTTTGCTTACCGAACAATGCAATTTTTTATACAATTACTGACAGTAGTAAATAGGTCCTAAATAGTAAGCCTAAAACTAGTTTTAACTGGCTATCATAAAACATTAATGAGGAAGTAATTGTTATTCACTTTACACTTATTTTTTGGGTAGTTTTTGTAGAATTTTAAATAGCAGCTGATCTAATAAAGAATAACAAACAATCAACACTCAAACTTTACGTTAATTTCAAGTTATATCCGTACACGTTAAAAGTATTATTTACTTGGCCATATTTGTTCTTAGAAGCATTAATGATGGCCAAAAAAGATGGGCTCGCTTTAAGCTGTTCAATTGATTTAGTAATTGCAGAGATTCCACAGATATATAAAGATGTGTGTAGAATTATTGGAAATGTTTGTTTATTTTATTAGAAGCCTATTAAAATTATTATGAATATTAATGATATACATGGAGAATACATAGATGATAAATAGTAAACTCGGATAGCTATCAGACCTCAATATACATCTTAAGTATATTATTATAATATACTTGACATTTATTGTAAGAAATAACTGACATTTCAGTCACATCAGCTTAGAATTGTTAGTCAACTGTGCTGAAAGTCAAATATAAGTTGATTATTTGTGAGAGCCTGGTCAATATTTGGCCATCATGATGAAAAGCACCGACAATGTGCAGTCAGTTGAGGAGGGGGGCGTGCCGCCTGACGCATTAATGCGCATTAATATCTGGCACAAGGTAAATTATAAATATGTTGCAAGCTGCTTGGAAAACACACACACTCATAAATCGCCGCAGATACTCTTCTTTTTGTTGGGTTTGACCTGTGCCCTCACTGTTTGTGTGCTGATTCGGTTGGCCAACAAACTGAAAGCCAATGGTCAACTTGAGGATGTGATTCACTTCGAAGAGGGCTCGATCCACATCGGTCGCAGACTTGATAATTAGACACTCCTCGCACTAGACGTCTTTAACCAATATTTACCAACATCAAACGCCTTCTGTTTAAATAAAGCGCTAATTGATTGAATAATGCGGAAATTGGGCTTGGGATTTGATGTGCAAATTGAGCAAACAGCAGTTCAACAAACTATTCGTGAGGAAATGCTTTGACGCTGACAAAAATATATATTTAAGAAAGAAAACTATAATTAGCCATAGGCATTCTCGATTAGACTACTATGAAAACTCGTTTTTGATGTTACCCTTGACACATTTACACATTAATTATTGATAATTGGCTTTAATTAGTCCAAGTAAAGTTCAGCAAAACAAATGCTTGGAATTACCCCAGTTCTAGCTCTGAAGATTTAGAATCTATATTTATATTTCTGTGTCTATAAAATAGCAGAGATATGAGAAAATATTCTCAATATTAAATATATATATAAATAATAGATAGAATTGAAGTTAAAAATGATTTTAATCTGTTTTCATCACAATTCAATTAAATTAATGAGCCAATAGTTATTAACTCTGAGGAGGGGTATATTAATTACAGATCTTAAATACACCGACCGACAACTTTAGCTATATACCATTAATTACGTTCCAATCAAGACTGCATGACTTGCATTTTCTTAAGGTATTAAGTATTTAAGTGTATAGAAATCAATTTAAGTTCCCCTCTTTAAGCTACGCCTTCAGCACTTCGTCAAACCTGAACCGATATTCAATAGCTATACAGTTTTGATCATGGTTTTATCCGACAGATGACTAAATCTGAACCGATTAATTCTATATAACAATTTCAGACTCCAACTAAAGATGTTCAGATCAATATAGAAACTGCCAAAGAGGAGCCGAGTAGCAAGGGCAACTGTTGCAGCTGGATTGTGCTGGTGGTCTTGGCTGCTGCTCTAACTGTGGCCACCGCCATGGTCTGGTATTATCAAGGCACTTGGTGCGGATTGGGTGCGCTCTACGGCAGTCTGGTGCTGCTGCTGCTGGTGAAGCCGGGCTGGCGCTGGTTCTACATAGCAGCCGTCACGGGACCACGTGACACCATGTAAGTGTGACCCCAGCAATTAGATGCACTGCCTCCAAGTACTAACCGCCATTGTTATGCCAACCAGCGCATTGATTGCCTACATTCGAGTGTTGCTGTTTGTGAAGCGACAGGAGCGCAAGAATCTCAATGTGGGCGACATCTTTGAGGCGAATGTGGCCCAGCATCCGGACAAGTTGGCCATTGTCAGCGAGACCCAGAAGTGGACCTTTCGCCAGGTGAACGAGCATGCGAATCGTGTCGCGAACGTCTTCCACAGTCATGGCTACAAGAAGGGCGATGTGGTTGGGCTACTGCTGGAGAATCGCGCCGAGTTTGTGGCCACTTGGCTGGGCCTGTCCAAAATCGGTGTAATTACGCCGCTGATCAATACGAATCTGCGTGGACCCTCGCTGCAGCACAGCATCAAGGTGGGCAACTGCACGGCGCTAATCTATGGCATCAGCTACAGATCGGCTGTGATGGATATAGCCAAGGATCTGCCCGCCCATGTGGCGCTCTATCAGTTCAACGATGAGGCCAACTCAGCAAAGGCAGCCACCGAGGGTCTGTCTCAGGGTTTGGCGCAACAGTTGAATGCTCTGTTAGAGTCGGCAGCCAAGGATAAGGTTGCCGCTGGCGCCAGTCGTGCCGATCATCAGGATAAACTCGTCTACATCTACACGTCGGGCACCACAGGTCTGCCCAAGGCAGCTGTCATTACCCATGCACGGTAAGTGCAATTATCATGCATACATTAATTTATATTACAGATGTAAAAGGGTTCTTAGTAAACCTGCCTGTTGCGCAAATTCAAGTGTCTAATTGGGGTTTTCCATACGGGTCAAAGTATGCAACTTATGAAAGCTCACAAATTATATATTTTTTTTTATTATTATTGTGCATTTAAAATTTAATTGTATGCATTCGGCGTAATCCATAATTTCCCAGCGAACTCTGTTAACCCCTCGAAAACTAACGTAAATATTTTTTATTACTCGATTCGTCTAGGTTTTTCTTTATAGCGGCTGGCATTCACTACGCCTTGGGTTTCCGGGACGATGATGTGTTCTACGCCCCGCTGCCACTTTACCACACAGCTGGCGGTGTGATGAGCATGGGGCAGGCTCTGCTCTTTGGCTCCACTGTTGTCGTACGAAAAAAGTTCAGCGCATCCGGCTATTTTGCTGACTGTGCGCGCTTCAATTGCACCGTAAGTCAACTGAGAGATTGGGTTAATCCCCTACGGGAATGCTCACTCCATTTTCAATTGCAGATTGGCCATTATATTGGAGAGATGGCGCGTTATATCTTGGCAACGCCGGCGGCAGCACACGATCGTCAGCATCAGGTGCGCATGGTCTTTGGCAATGGGCTGCGTCCACAGATCTGGACGCAGTTCGTCGAACGCTTCAATATTGGCAAAGTGGGTGAATTCTATGGCGCCACCGAGGGCAATGCGAATATCATGAACAACGATAGTACAGTGGGCGCAATTGGATTCGTCTCCCGTATATTGCCACAGATCTATCCCATATCCGTCATACGTGCCGATCCCCATACGGGCGAACCCATACGCAACGCGAAGGGTCTCTGCGATCGATGTGAGGCCAACGAGCCGGGCGTCTTTATTGGCAAGATTGTCAAGGGTAATCCGTGTCGTGAGTTCCTCGGCTATGTGGATACGAAAGCCTCTTCGAAGAAGGTAGTCCACGATGTGTTCTGCAAAGGCGATATGGCATTTATATCGGGCGATCTATTGGTGGCCGATGAGCGGGGCTATTTGTATTTCAAGGATCGCACAGGGGATACCTTTCGCTGGAAGGGTGAGAATGTATCCACCAGCGAGGTGGAGGCACAGCTCAGCAATATGATCAACTACAAGGACGCCATTGTCTATGGCGTCTGCATACCACAGACGGAAGGCCGCGCCGGCATGGCCGCCATCTATGATCCCACCAGGGAGGTGGACGTGTCCACGCTGGGTTCCCAGTTCGCCACAGCTTTACCGAACTATGCGCGACCCGTTTTCCTGAGATTCCTGCGACGCATCGATTTGACGGGCACGTTCAAGTTGCGCAAGGTGGAGCTGCAGCAGCAGGGCTTCAATCCTGCCGCATCCGAGGATGAGCTATATTATGCCCAGGCCAATGGCAGCTATGCAAAGCTCACGCAGGACATCTATGAGAGGATTCAACGCAATGAATTGCGCTTTTGAGTTGAGGATAAGTCTACTTTTAGCTTTAAGCTCCCATATAAGACTAATAAGAAGGCGGAAATCATATATATATATAAATATATACATAAGAAATAAGATGTTTTCGATCAGCTAGATTAATTTACAGCTTTAGGTAAATTGCCATCTGGCTCAACAAATGGAGGAGTAAAAAATACATAATGAATACTTTTCGGCTTTTTATTATTTAGCTGGAATGTGAGCAAATATATTGCATACTTTCGGGCAGCGCACAAAAGCGGCATTTGCTGACTTGTGCTGCATACTTCAGGGGATGTGAACTAAGCAATACGCCCACAACTATTTGCAAAAATGGCTCGAACTCAATTCTTACAGATCTTCGAAGAACATGGTGAGTTATAATCATAAGGACAACCCCTATCGAACTACATTCGAGGATTATTGGTTCATCTGAGAACCCAAACACTTGCAAAAATTTCAGCGTAGGACGAAGGAAAATGAGCCAAAATCACAAAATCCTCAGTTTCTCGAAAACTACAGGGACGATTTGGATGTCCTTTGACCAGTTGGTAGCCCTGGTTAAGTCAAAAACGAATGTCCTATTCTGAATTCTGTCGAAGTGCATTCAAAGATTATGAGGTCATATGGGTAGCCAAGTCGGCACACATATTTTAAGGCAGCTCTTACATCTTTCTGCTAAAGTTAAATTCTTAGGTTTTAGTTGATAGATTCGTGTGTATTGTGCTAGCGTATTAAATAATAAAAAATCTTAATGGAGAACAGTGGAACAAATGTCTAGGCTTAAATACTTTCAGCATAAATCGCAGCAGCAGCAGCAGCAGCAGCCGCATCCGAACTCAGTCCTTGGGCGGCACATCCTTGACGAGATCGGATCGCTTCTGTTGCTCCATGCGCTGCTCGACCTGCTCGAGTCGGTCGCTCATCGCATCCAGAGAGTTGAGCAAACCCGCCTGGATTTCGCCATAGCGCTTCATGGCCAATATCAGACTCTCCTCGATCAGTTCGCTCTGCTGGGCATATTCCCCATTGTTCTCGGTGATCTGCTTGAGTTTGTCCAGGCACTCGCTGGGTATACTCCGAAAGTATTCCGCACCCAGTGCCGGCTCCAGTTGCTTCACCCGCTCCAGCTGCTCGCTCTGCGCATAGAGTTCGGGTGCCACAGCATTCAGATATACCTCCTTGGAGCGCACCTGTTGCTGCTCCTCCAGGTAGTTGGGATCCAGATACTTCTCCAGTTCCGCCGCCCGCCCCACGCACTGCTGCAGCTGGCTGCGTCCCGTTGTCGCCTCACTCAGCAAGGCGTTGGCCGAGCACAGCGAATCCACAATGTTTGCCGTCTTCGGATTGCAATCGCCATCGCCAACATGTTGTTCCGGCAGTGGGCCGAGTACTCGCGTCAACGCATCTATTCTCTTTTCCAGTATGTCGAGGGCTTCCATTTTTATCGTCAAATTTCTCTAGGAAAGCGGAATGATGTCAGTGCAGTCTGCAAAACAAAAACACACAAAAATACCAAAAACGCGTCGCATTGCAGTTGCGGTATTGTACAACACTAAACAATATACATATCGATAGCTGACCTATCGTCAAGCTTTTACAGCGAAACGACTTTTTGAAAAGTAATTAAGAGAAATTGAATATATTTACATTTCTTTCATTTCATCAAAATTCACAATTTAAAATTTTCTAGTGATAGTTGCTCTGCATCCTTGTTGATCTGCGCCGAACTATCCTCAGAGATGATGCGTACCACATCCGCATCCAAGTCACCATCTGCCACGCTGTCGTCCAGCACACACAGCAGTCCATCGTTGTCCACGTAGGGGAAAAAGAATTCGGGCTTATCCCAATTGGAACGCTGCCCAATGCTACAATGCGTCTCCTGCTGCATGTGGTCGGAAAGCAGAGCAAATTCATCGAATTGCAGATCACAGCAAATGCAGCGCAACAAGCAAATCTGCCGACGTATAAAGTTGACAACCTTGATCTTCTGATAGAAATTCAGGGAACTGGTGACGGCATCAAAATCCAAGTGATGCACATCGATCATGTGCTTTTTTAGGACTGAGAACTGAGCCTCTTCCAGTGGACAGTAAAGGCACTTGATGGAGTGGGGCTCCCCATCAGCTGCCCAATCGGACCAATCCGAATCATGATCCCCATCCGAGTCCTGGCGTGCGAAATGCTTGTCAAAATCAACGCTCACGTTGTCCTCGGCCAAGGATCGACGTTTCGCTCGCTGCTGCTGCTTGCGTTGCGCTGGCGCTTGCTTCGCTCGATTGTAGTTGACCAGAAAGAACTTATCGTACTCCCGGCGATTGGGATTGATGCGCTTGTGACCCTTCTTCCGCATATGCTCCTTGAGTGTGGGACGATCCTTGAATTAGGAATGTAGAACATATCGATATTTGGATTTGCTTTCTCGATGTTGTCGATATTGATATCGATGTTATGTGCGAAACACACCACTTATTAACCGATATCATTATAAATATTCATCGCTTATAAAAATACTATCGTACATATACTATTGATATGTTTCGTTTAAAGCAAATACCTTGAATATCTTCTCGCAGTACAAACACAACAATTTGTTTATATTCTCCTCGAGCTGATCGAGCAACTCATCCACGAAGACCAATTTCTCCGGCTTGCCCACCAACAGGAAATGCTTGTCGAACAGATGATCGAGGTAATCGGCGCGCAATCCCTTAACAACTGTCCGACAGAAGAGGCATTCCTTGCTGAAACTACGATCCGTCAGCTCGAACTGGTGCCGCTCGAGGGCTGCATTTAGGCGCTGCTCCTGCAGCCGCTGGCGCAGCTCAAAGTCCTGCGGCAGTATATCACAGAGCAGAAAATATTTCTCATTCTTGGCATAGCTGCCATCGGGCAACTGGTCCAGAAACATTGTCGTGCAGTATTGCTCGAATTCATGAGCTGCGACGGAGTAAAGTGAATAAAAGTTATGTTTATTTACGTGGTTAATCACACTTACCCTGGAACTCCTTCTCCCAGTACTGCAGGTAGTCCTCCAACACGGCAATTTCATCCACATCCGCAATAACGAGTCGGTGCTCAAGATACAGGTGCGCCAGGCAATCGTCCCTGTCTCCGGGGAATATGTAAACCTTGTCGCATTTCAGGCATTTAATGGCTGTGTTTCGGGTGGGTTTCAGTACTTGAGCATCCTTGGGGACAACTGTGGCCACAGAATCGCCAGCGATTCCAGCTGCTTCCATTTGTTCCATTTGTTGACACAAACGATACTAGAGGTGATAAGCGATTTCAAGGCAGTTTGCGATAAGCGATATCAACTATCGATTGCTGGAATAAAGTTTAGTTTGCTGCATGTATGAAGAAGTCATTAAAGAAGCACATACATAAAAATAATGAACTATTTAATATAATATAACTACACGAATGAAGTTGCTTAAACCTGTTGAATATTCAACTGATGCGCCAGTAATCGATATATGAACGATATAATTATGTGAACTAGTTCCGCAGAAAAATACTCGAATCTTGCAACACGTGTGTTCCTCGGCCATTTTCCTTAACCTGGCACCGCGTGCAAACGTCTTTCGGACATCGCTTGTGCTTAAGTGTTAAATAAAATCCAAATAAAGATGACTGACGTTGGTAAGTGTAACCAACGCATAACACAAACAAAGCGCGCCAAATGCGAATAAAGCACAAATCATTGCAGACTCGCGAAAGAAAAAAAAGAAAATCAAGGAGGAGCCGCTCGATGGCGAAGATCTTGGCACTCTGCAAAAGCAGAACCAATTCCAAATAAAACCCTCCTCGAAGATCGCCGAACTGGAAACATCGCAATGGCCACTGTTGCTCAAGAACTTTGATAAGCTGAACATACGCTCGAATCATTATACTCCGCTGGCGCATGGCTCTTCGCCGCTCAATCGCGACATTAAGGAGTACATTAAAACTGGCTTCATCAATCTGGACAAGCCTTCGAATCCCAGTTCGCACGAGGTGGTCGCCTGGATCAAAAAGATATTGAAAGTGGAGAAAACAGGCCATTCCGGCACATTGGATCCCAAGGTTACCGGTAAGTGCTGAAAGAATCATGTGTTTTTGTCTGCTAGAGATGAGCAAAGTGGTGATTTGTTGTACGATATTTAAATATAAAGCGCGTTTTTTATATCTGCCAGTCACTATTATCTAGTTCTCTCTGCCGCATGGCACTCTCACTCTCACTTTCTGACCTAACCTCACTTAACCAACACGTGCAATTCGCAGGCTGCTTGATTGTCTGCATTGACCGTGCCACGCGTCTCGTCAAGTCGCAACAGAGCGCCGGCAAGGAGTATGTGGCGATTTTCAAGCTGCATGGCGCCGTTGAATCGGTGGCCAAAGTGCGTCAGGGTCTCGAGAAGCTGCGTGGTGCGCTCTTCCAGCGTCCGCCTCTCATCTCCGCCGTAAAGCGACAGCTTCGTGTGCGCACCGTCTACGATAGTAAATTGCTGGACTACGACGAGACTCGTAATATGGGTAAGTTCTCCATTTCCTTCATCATAACGTGGAGCTAGTGCATCGCTGTCTGGCTTAAGGCAGCGTTGCCAGATCTAAAAATGTATATAAAAATTCAGTATTTGCCTACAGGCAGAGGCAAATGCACAGTTTTGTTTGTAACACACTCGTCTCGTTTTCATTACTCACGTGCTTAGGTGTTTTTTGGGTTAGCTGCGAAGCCGGTTCCTACATACGTACCATGTGCGTCCATTTGGGTCTAGTCCTTGGCGTCGGTGGCCAAATGTTAGAACTGCGTCGCGTTCGTTCCGGCATCCAGTCGGAACGCGATGGCATGGTCACAATGCACGATGTCCTCGATGCCATGTGGCTCTATGAGAATCACAAGGACGAGTCCATGCTGCGTCGTGTCATCAAGCCGCTGGAGGGTCTCCTCATCAACCACAAGCGCATCATCATGAAGGACAGTTCCGTAAGTTTGCTAGGAACAAGGTGTTCTTACTTACCCCATGATATTAAGCCGGCAGACGCTTGTAATTTAACCAGCGGCGTCTGTGACTATGACTGGGAACAGTAAAGCCGCTGATGTGTGTATGTTGGAATTGCGCTTTATCTGCGCATCTGACAAAGATTTATTCAGACTACAAAACATAAAAATTGACACATAAATATTTAATTGAACAAGCAGCAATTAATATCGATCTGTATTTGTTTATTCTTAGGTGAATGCCGTTTGTTATGGTGCCAAAATAATGTTGCCTGGCGTCCTGCGCTATGAGGATGGCATTGAAATCGAGCAAGAGATTGTCATCTGCACCACAAAGGGCGAGGCGATTTGTTTGGCTATCGCCTTAATGACGACGGCGACGATGTCGTCGTGCGATCATGGAGTTGTTGCCAAGATCAAGCGTGTGATTATGGAGCGTGACATATACCCGCGCAAATGGGGATTGGGTCCCAAGGCGTCGGCTAAGAAGGCGCTTATCGCTGCCGGCAAGCTGGACAAGTTTGGCAGGCCCAATGAGAATACACCCAAGGAGTGGCTAACTGGCTTTGTGGACTACAATGCCAAGAAGCCAGCAGCGCAACAACAAAAAGAATCACCCACAAACGGCAACGAAGCCAGCAAGGTAAGAAACTAGAAAATAAACTATATTATAACATTTCGCTATAATAAATTCAACTATTTTCTTTTTGTTGTTGTGCAGCGCAAGCTGAGCACCTCCAGTGTAGAGGAATCGGCAGTTGAACCCGCGCCCGTCACCTCCGAGAAGAAGAAAAAGAAGAAGAAGCACAAGGGCGAAGAGGAGGCGCCAGTTGAGGAGGACGAAACAACTAGATCATCGGCCGAAGTGCCCGTAGAGAAAGAGAAGAAGAAAAAGAAGAAGAAGGACAAAGATAGGGATAGAGATGAGGCTCAGGAATAGAATATTTTCTGTATCACTACTAGTAGACACTTAGGCTTTGATGTCCTCCACTATTTTGAGAGCATTTTTTATATATATTAAGTTTAAAAGTTGTAGACAGCGACTTGTTTAAATTGAGCTGTACAAATGCAAATTTTCAATGCATTTACAAGAAGTGACATTCGCAATGCAATAAATTGTATAATTTTATTGTAAACTATAAAAACGGTTTAATTAGGGTTTATTTAGCATCTTATTCTACACTTAGCGACTGCCTCAACTCTTCCATTTTAAAGGTGAGTTTCAATTGCAATTGTGACTTTATAATATATACGATTTTCAAATGTTGCACGCTGTTTCCTGATGAGCAATAACTTTCGCCCCTAGCTGAACACTTAAGTGAAACTTCTCATGTTGAATGCGAGATTGGTCTTACTGAATTTTGACAGCCAGCACATTTGAAAGTTGTCTTTCTAATGCAAAATCTTTATAGTTAGCATGTTTTTATTTTAATATTAATATATTTATTATACATTACAGCTTGCATAATGGAAACTACCGGTAATGGAGAACAATTATGAGGTGAGTTCACAAAAATTGAAGTACTCATGTAAATTACTCCTCTATTTTGTGATGAGAATTTAACTTTCGCCCCTATCTGAACACAAATGTGAAACTTCTCATGTTGAATGCGATATTGGTCTTGCTGATAATAAAACAAGTCTCCAATCAAAGCATTTAAAACTTTGAAGACCTATATTTATTTATATATATTTTTGTATTCTTGCAGATTCAAAATAATTCCTGGCCTATTCTACAAGAGAGCTGAGTATCTTAGCCATCAAATAAACGGTTAGTACACCTTTTATTTTCAGTCTGTGAAACGCAATTTTGTGATGAGAATTAACTTTCGCCCCTAGCTGAACACTTAAGTGAAACTTCTCATGTTGAATGCGAGATTGGTCTTACTGATATCAAACTTATTCAAACATGATTTTCGAAGTTGTTATTTTCTCAACTAATTGATTATTCGTTCCATTTTTTCAGAAGACACCGAGATGCATTCATTGGGAATTAAGACTGAGCTCAAGGTAAGCATTATCATTCTTAAGACCCCAAGAAAACTTAATTTCTACGTGATGAGAAATAACTTTCGCCCCTAGCTGAACACTTAAGTGAAACTTCTCATGTTGAATGCGAGATTGGTCTTACTGAAATAATATTTATATCACGATAATTTATATAATAAATTATTTGGTATTTTACTAATTCAATTTAATTCAATTTCAGTTCCAAATGGGTTTGTCTTTTGGCTTTGTAATCATCGTCTTTGAGAGGTAAGAATATATTACAAGTCAGCAATTCATTAAGTATTCTTTGTGATGAGCAATAAACTTTCGCCCCTAGCTGAACACATAAGTGAAACTTCTCATGTTGAATGCGAGATTGGTCTTACTGATAATATGATTTTATAACACTAAAGAAGGGCTACTTTTGAAATCTTTAGTAAAGTTATTTTCTTTTCTTTATCTTACAGTTTTCAACACACAGAAGTTTATTCCTTAAAGGCAATTCTGATAGGTAAGCAAAACTCATGTTGATTTTGTTATATATATTGAAATACTTAAAATGATGAGAAAGGAACGCTGATATGTGGCATGATTCACAAAATCCGCAACAACACAATCCTCAAAAATAGGTCCTACTGAAAAAAATACAAATAGAAATAAAATGTATTTCATTTTTAACAAGGTCATTAATTATAAAATATATTTATTTGCAGCTCCAACCAGTATCAGGAGAGGGGAAATTTCAATCATAATCAAAAAGGTGGGTTAAATTTGTATGAAAACATGATCAAAAATCTTCTAGAATGATGAGAAAGGAACGCTGATATGTGGCATGATTCACAAAATCCGCAACAACACAATCCTCAAAAATAGGTCCTACTGAATGCAAAATTAATAATTACAACTTGTCTTCAGTCAAAAATGTAAACACAAAACTAACTTTATTATTCTCTTGTATTTGCAGGTACTGTACTTTCTCCTCAACAAGTGACGTTGGTTTTATATATATATATGTACAAATTTTGACTGCCTGCACAAAAATAAATAAAGAGATTCATGGCAAACACGTGTTGTTTTCAATGTGGGGCGGATAAAAGCGCGTATAACCTGAAAATGTTGTGCTGTGCTTTTTCTTGACGGCTATTTTTGGCGGGAATCAAAATCCAGAGTTGCCACCCGGCGCAACTTAAACGATATTGCTTTTATTCATTTGGCGAATGTGCCGCCAAAGCTTCTAATCTAGGAAGTTGTGCTGTGTTATTATAAAGCGTGCTTCTAAGCACGTGTTGCGTTGATCTAATAAAATGTGAGTAACTGTTTTATTGTGACAATAGCGTCCTCGAGCTTTCATATAAAAAAAAATCCATGTTTCTAACCTGAAAAAAACCAACTAAATAATATAATCAAATACAACACACATCATGTTAGAAACGTGTCTCGATTCTTTTGATAGCTTTGAATATCATCAGGCTAGATTTTAAGCACATTCAACAGGCCTGTGTTCAAATTGAGTGTCAGTTGCTCTGTGACAAGTGCTCCAATATTAAAATGAACAAATTTTCTTACTTTTTTAGTGTAAAATGTAAATATTTGAATAATTTATGCACTAATTGTGTAAAAAGCTTCGTCGCGCTTTTTTCAACAGGTTTAAATATCAGTAGATTACAGTTATAGCGCGCTCTACAACCCTGTGTTTCATTCCACGCTGCAGCTGCCTTGACGGGCTGTTATCGGTCTCCATATTGAAATTCATCAAGCAGTCACCGCCGATACATGTATGTGTCAATTTTTTTTGTGCATGTATTCGCTTGTACGCTTCTGCGACGTACGACATCAGCAGCGAGAGAGCTGCAACTAATTGCGCAGTTAACTAAAGGAAAAGTACAAATATCGAAGAAAGACTTTGAAGTTTGCAATTGGGCACTCTTTGTGAAAACCTGCTTGTGCAGGTGAGTGTTTTAATATCAATTTCGATTTCTATGTGGCAGGACATTTTGTGTGAGTAATGCATATTTTCTCAACGTCATTCGTGTCGTGCATGCGTGTGAAAGAGACGGGTGCTGCTCGGTGCTTTACACACTCTGACACACGTGATCAGCGGCGAAAAGAGTGTGTATCTGTTGCCGCGACGCCATGTTGGATTTATTTTTGAGGTTATCGATTTATTTCGTACGCTTTACAACTATTTGATGTTTTTACTGTCAAACTAATTAACTAATCAATGTGTATATTTACGGTTTTATTAAATTACACAACGTAAGTAGTTCTTCTTGTTGTTTTTTTTAAACAGTTGTGCAATTTATTACGTAATTTCGAATATAAAGATCGCAATCAAGATTGCAAGCACCATATAGGTTATGTAAAGTTTTATTATTTTAATTTTTTAAAAGGACGTTAACAATTGTATTTGTGGCTATTTAAGTAAATAGGTTATAGTTGGTTATCCCAATGGTGTCTCTCTCTCGCTCTCCCTCTGCAGATTTTAATCAGTAAACACGTGCGCACGCACACATGTGCACCTTAATACATAAATATATACATGCGGCACACATATTAATGCCATTGCATTTCGTTGGAACGATTGGGAATGGAATGGGCTCGCACCAAGCACACACACACACACGAACACACCTTGCGTTCACATACACATAACGACCAGCAGCCAAGCAGTCGTCACAGGGCCCGCACAGAGCTGGTTGTGATCGCAATTTATTTGCACGCGTTCTTCTTGAATTTAAATAAAAAGTTGTAATAATTGCATTTATTTTGAACAATAAAAGAATGCATTCATGCGCAATGGTTATAAACATTTGCAACTGCTGGCATTAATTTAATGTGGATATGCAATTGCCGCATTGTGAAAATAAACTTAGCGTGTAAAATGTTTTAGTTGTTGTTGCTGCTGCTGCTGCCGCTGATGCGTGTGTGTTTGTTTGTGTGTGTGCGTCAGCAATTCAAAGGCGCTTAATAATAACAGTGGATTGTTCGTTGCTCGTTGGCTTTTTACCGTTTGTTGTGTGCTTTGAAAGTGCGTAAATATTTATGCATGTAAATAGCTGTAAATTCGCTTTCCTGTTAGCTATTGCGATACACACGCTGCTTGTAGATTTCGATAACGAGTCGATAACAGTGTGTTTAATTATTAAGGTCCTTGGAAGACAATTGATGTACATAATTATTAATTTTAATTTTAGATGAGTGTGTGTGAGTGAATAGCAAATATAATAGTTCTTTGTCCGCTTTTGTCGTCGCCATTTGCATGCGTTTTCTTTGTATGTGTGTGTGTTTATGTGTGTTGTGTATTTATTAGCTGGCAAGTGTTACCCATTTGCGTGAAAAAGTTTAGGGTTGGCTGAGGGGAAGCACTTTTCTTTTTTTAGGCATGTGACATATTTGAAGTGTGACAAGTGAGACATGTTTTGGACTTGACACATATTTTATTGCATTTGACGTTTGTGATTTTAAAAAGCAACACAACAAAGAATTTTGGATTTACAATTTTACGGGTGGACAACTTTAAAGAAAATACAATTTATAAGTTATCAATAACAGTGTGGCCGTATTTAAACATTAATTACATCACATTACTGCAAAATCATACGTAATATGGTTTTTAAAATTATGATTAGATAAGTTTCAGTCGAAAACTTTATATTTATATATTTTTATAGTCTTAACCAAGAGGGCTTTCAACAGTAGTATCATATTCGGCAATTCCTTCTAGTTTCGTGTGATTTGCATTAAAGTTCTTGGCTCCAGAAACACCAAATAATTGTTTACGAGCTAGAAATAGAAATAAATGTAGTTAATGTTTATTGTAATCTTGTTATATATGACGAAGTTTTTGTATAAAAACGTTTTTCATATTCAACATTGGTATTATTATTGATTTGTTCTCCTTTTGTTTTAGAATGATACAAGAATTGCCGCCAATTGTGCTAAGGGGCAAAGATCTGCGCAAATTTCATCATCTGAGACGCAAATATCCCGTTTCGTTGGAATTCTTGCACAGCAACTGGGGAAATGCGAAACGTTTCATCATCTACGCCCTGAATCCGCGATGTATCCTGCGCAAATATGCGTGGCGTAAGCGGCGTAATCGAGTCGTAATCCTTGAACGATCGCGTCTGCTGCTCTTCGATCCGCGTCGGAAGAACATGATTAAGAAGCGCAAGGCGCACATAAAGCAATGGTCATCGAGCATTGTGGCTTACTATAGAAAAATGGGTCGCATATCGGAGTACGAGGAGACGGAACTGTACGGCGATGAGCTGTCCAAGCAGATGAAACAACAACTGGAGCTGCTGAAGAGCGGCAAGCGCGGACTCTCCTTGATCGAGGATGCCAACAAGAATTTGGAGCTGCGTCAGGACAAACAAGAAGAGAAGAAGGGAGCAGAAGAGACAAGGGAAGAAGATGTGCAGAGCAGCGCAAAAGATGGCCAAATTGAAGAAGAGAAGGAGAAAGACGGAGAACACGATAAAGTAGAAGAGCTTGCTCCAACATCTTCAAAACGACTTGATTCAAAATCTTCTAAAGAACTTGCCTCAAAATCTACAGAAGCGATGACTCCAAAATCTTGCCAACAGCTCACTGTCAAATCTCCAGAAAAACTCACTCTAGAACGTGTTCCAATATCTCCAGAAGTGCTGGCTTCAAAATCAACAAAATTGCTCGTTCCAAAATCAAAAGAAGCGCCAACAACCGCTGGTGTCCGTTGCAATAGTCCTGCCAAAGTAACTGAAAAGTCGTCGGAAAAAGCCGGAGGAAGCAAATTCTTAGACATGCTCATGAATAAAGTGCGCGTCAAGAATTTTGCCAAAGAGTCTGCCATCGCCACGAATGAGGACTGTAGCCCCAACAAGGCAGCAAGACAAACGGCTGAGTCAAACAGCGAATTTTGCTATAATGATGACACCAGCGAGGATTTCGTTGGTTTCGATGAGACCGCCCATCAGCCGGGCATGCTGCTGACTCCGCTGGTGCCGCAGAGCGGCAAAGCGCTCGATGGGAATGGCGCCTTTGTCAGCGAGGCGCTCGAGGCCTACATGAAAGAGAACAATCTGCGTGAGGATCGCGACCGGCTGCTCGAGCCGATGTATCAGGATGGACGCGTCACGGCGCATAGTGTGCCACCGTATATGGATATGCCGGCGGTGCCGGATAGTTTGCAGCGACTGCGTACAGTTGCGGAGAGACGACTGTATTTGCAGCGCTCCAAGAACCAAAAGATGGCCATCATCAACAACGAGGCGAACATCTACAGGGAATTGCAGCGTAAGCAGCGCCAGCGTAAGGTAAAAATTGCCGCAATGCAACAGCTACAATCGACTAGCAGCCAGATGCCCTTCACCCGACAGGGCTGGCAGGCGGCCAGCTATTTGGCAACGGAGCATGATAAGTATTACTATCAGGTTATACGCGTCGATGGACAAATGGTGCGCCTGCCTGGTAGCCAGGGCAACAATACGCACCGCGAGAAGCAACCGCATCACAATCAGTTGAGCGCCAAGGAGTTGGCCCATCTGAAATGCCATAGCAATTGCGTGGATGCATCGGTGCAGGCCGATCTGAAGATCTTGAATACGCGTCAGGTCGATACAAAGAAACTGCAGAAGTTAAACCAATTTCCGCTGCCGGCCATCTTTCGTCCGTGTCCACTGTCACAGAAGCCATATCAGAAACCGCTGGATGATGATACGGCTGCTCTGCTGTTAGCTGGTGGCAGCATGGCTATTGTTAGTATGCCCACCGTTCAACTGGATGTTAAACCACAGACGGGTCGACCCTTGGACGAGATAGCCAAGCGTTATCTACAGTATATACTGCCACATCATGACATCACCCGCGAGTGGGCCGAGTTCAGTGTGTCCACGTTGCAGGAGTCGCCAAATAGTATGCGCGAAGCAGAGGCACAGGCGGCAACAATGTCGATTGCCGGTCGTCGCAAGAGCTTCACGTTTGTGATACCATATATGAATGATCGCAATCATATCCTGGTGCGTCGCGTTGTCGATCGCTCCGAGCAGTTGGACGAGAATTTCACGGCCGCCCAACCCGAGGAGAAGCTGCGGGAATTTGAGTTCCGCAAGCAATTGCCAGCCATATGCGATGCAGTTGCCTTGGACTGTGCCGATGTGATTAATGACATGATCAACACGGTCGCAATCAGTTGCAGCGAGAACTCATTCATCGGCATCGATCCCGATGCAGTGAGTGCTGCCAAGCCGGAGCCGACTGATGGCGATGTGTTTGCCAACAAGTCGATTGGCAAAGGGATTGCAACCAAGCAGCAACAACAACTGCAGCGACGATCCAACAACAACAGCAGCAACAGCAACAATAGCAGACAGCAGCGTTTGACCAAAGAACTGAGGCGTCTCAATGCCACCATTATCGATGCGGCTGCCATTGCCAAGGATGGTGAGTAGTAAATAATAATAAATAAGTATTATTAGACAGGACTTGGATCTGTTTTAAACTGATTGATTAGTTTCTACAGACTATCAATAATTGTTACATTTAATTCAGTAGTTGCAAATATTTATTTATATTTCCACATCAAGTGCTAATAATTTCCTTGACATACTCAGCAAATAAACCATGCATCAAGGATTTCTGCCGGCTGGGCTGCGTCTGCGAGAGTCTGGTCGGAGTGCGACCAACCCGCGAGCATTGTGGACGCGCTGAATGTGTCCTCGAATGCCGCTGCACAGGAACCGAACTAACGCGCATTATGCACGTCGAAACCGATGTGCGTAGATAGAATATCTTTACTCACATCTCAGCTGTATATTAACGCATTCCTCTCCTTTCACAGGGTCGCGGCATTTCCAATGAGGATGCGTTCAATTTGCGTCGCCAGGCAACGGCGCGTCTGGCCAAAATGGAAAAGGATTTCACCTCGACACTGGTGCTGACGGACAACGAGACGCTGCTTATCAATGAGACGCAGTGCGATAAGAAGCGACGCTGCACCAAAGCGCCCAAACGCTACGAGGACTTTGACGACACCCTGGACGACGATGAGGAGCCGTGCGCGCGTCCGACCAGATCAGCCAAGCGTGAGGCGAGCCTCAAGCGCAGCCCCGACAGTGTCAAACTGACGCCACCACCACCACTGTTGCAGGCCAAACCCTGCATTGTGAAGGATGTCGACTATGAGAAGCTGCGCCATTGCCGGGTCGCCTTGCGTCGCCTGCCCGATGTGGCTAATCTGGCCACGTTCTGCATGACCCATCAGCTGTACAACTGCTTCTGCGGCGGCCTCGCCCAAGATGGTAAACCAGTTGTCATTGACAAGGAGGAGGCAGAGCTGCCCGTGCCGCATTATGTGCCCGAGTTGGCGACTCGCGCTCACTACAGCTTCGAGAGGGCACAGGAGACACCGCCACCGACGCACAGCAAGAAGCGCAAGAAGCAACAACAACAACAACCGAAGACGATGCCTGCCAAACCGTCGACGCCGCTACCGCCATTGATACCATTGACGCCGCCAGAACAGCCAACTGAAACTGTGGCCAACCAATCCAACGCGACGTCGATAATACCTGTTCTGCCCGAGCAATCATCGGTCACCGCCGAACTGGACACAATCCTCAGCTATTATCGCTGTCGCCCCGACATGTGCCGTCGCGCCATAGTTATTCCCAAGAAATGTTATATACGCTCCAATCGCCGGCGCAGGGAGCGACTGCGTTTGGAGATCGCCAAGGCGGAGACGCCACGCACTCAGAATCTGATCGAGAAGCGCATCTATAGCGCCGTGCGCTACTATCGCGCCGAACTGGATAATCAGCGGCGCCAGGAGAAGCGGCCGTGGTTGAAGCAACAGCAACAGGAGAAGCTAGCCTCGGAGCCAACTGTGATTGTGGTGCGTGACGATTCCGATGAGAGTGATACCTCCAGTTTGTCGACACGCAAGCGGAGCGCAGAGACAACGGAGGAGCTGACTGGCTGCATGGAGGAGCAGCCCCAGCCATCCAAGCGAAAGAAGAAGGAGCTCAAGGAGATGCCAGTGAAGAAGCCATCGCCTCCCATTACGTTTATACCAATTGGGCCCAAGCCAGCGCCGTCCGTGGCCGAGCTGCCGCCAATCCCAGCTCTGCTATTTCCAACGCCCGATACTATGGAAAAAATGCCCATAATCTCCTCATGCTATTCGCTGTATAACAATGCTGCCATCGAAATGCCCCAGAGCGGCATCATCAACAACAACAATGAAACTGTTGCGTCCACATCCAATCGTGATGAGAATACCGCGATGGATTCGTCGACCTTTCACTCCTCCTGCAATGATGTCATCAAGAAGATGAACACGCTGGTTAGCAAGAAAATGCAGGACATCGATATGGCGCTGAAGCGTGAAAGTAAAATAATACCACCACCGAATGCCGAGATACTCTGCATCATTAAATGGACCAACTTTCTGGGGGCCTTCGACTCGGACTACGTTTTCATTTGGGATGTGCAAATGACGAACTTCAGTTTCCTGGCGGCGACCATAACGAACATGATGCCCGCAATCTGTGGCGCAATTGCTGTTGTCAACACACGCTTTGCACCGGATCCAAGTGCGTTGTCGTTGATGGCCCGGATGCTGCTGGAGGGCCAACGGAATGAGCACACCTCTCGGCTGGCTGTCGTCATGCAGGGCAGACAAGATTATTGGCTGGTCAAGGGATTCCTGCGCTACATGGAGGACAATACGTGCACGAAACCAACGCCACAGTCGCATCCCTTCCTCACCAAGAAAATCAACATATTGTGCACGCTGATGGTGAAGCAAAAGATTAAGGAGAAGAGACCTCAAGTCGAATCAGTCGATAAATCGCCATCAGAAGACGCTCCAGCAGCAGCAGCAGCAGCAGCAGGTTCACCAGTGACAGCCACAGCAACGGCAACGGCAGTTTCCACAGCTCCTTCAGCATTAGGTGCTGCTACTACCATCTTAGCTGCTAAGCCGGCTGCAGCAGGGGAGCAGGTGAAACAGACGCCAATCAATATATGCAGCAATGTTGAGATCCGTAAAGTAATCCAATTGGATGTGCCGGAAATGCAAATACCAGAATTGCAACCGCACGATCATCGCTGGCTTGTGCTCAACTTGTATGACGATTTCTCGCACATCTTTGTGCCGGCATTCAGGGACATGATCTCACTAGATCGCATACACAATGTGATGCACGTGGCGCAGGACACCCGCAAGGTGGTCAAGCTGCAATTCTTTCAGGATGCCCCATACGATGCCTTCGTTACGCCGCTATCCAAGCGCAAAATCTACTTTGGACCACTTCGCCTAGATATGCAGCCGCCGGTGCTGGTGCTGCTCCAGAGCGTCGATGGCAAGATGATGTTGCGTGAGGTGTATCAAAGGGACCACAATATTCCCGTGCAGCATGACAGACGGACCATGGCCTTCTGGCTGATACAGATTAACAAACAGGTGCACTTCGATATTGAGATGTGTGAAAAGGGCAGATTGGCCAAGGTGGCGACCACCTCCTCGCAGACATTGGCAATTCAGGAGCAGGACTTTCAGGCGGCATTCAATGCTGCCATGTGCGACGATGACGACGACGACGACGATTGCGTTATCATCAACAATGATGAAGAGGAGGAGGCGCTGCTGCTGGACGACGACGATGAGGATGAGCAGGATGCGGACGAGGAGCAGGATACAAAAAAGTTGCTGCAGCCAAGTCAGAAGCAGCAGCAGTCTGCTAAAAACGCACAACGTCGATCGCATTTCACCATTCAAACTGTGCCCAACAATGGCGGCGCTCTCCAAATAACATCAACTTTGCCACGTTCCAGCAACTCCAGCGATATTCCAGAACTGAAGACCGGCTTTTTGCCGTTCATTGCGAATATGCCTGCTGTGGGTGGCTTTGCACCTGCCACACAATTTCTTACGCCCCAAGTGCAGGTCACCAAGACTCCAGTGCCACCTCTTGTGGCAAGCACTGACAATGAGTCGCCGCCAGCTAAAATCAGTCGCATCTCTGTGCAGCGTTGTGCGGATGCCAAAGAGACGCCAGCGCCAGCGCCATCGAAAATCAACGATTCGCTGCAACAATTGCTCAGCGGTGGCAATAACAACATACAAATCGGCAGTGGCAGCCGCGGAGTTACCATCACCAAGCTCAAGGCCACCAAAGAGGCGACTAAGGTTCCAGCTGCTGCTACGACTACGACTTCTACTGCTTCTACTGCTCCTGCTACTGTGGAGGAAATTAAAATAGGCAGCAAGCGCAAGTCGCCACAAATCGCTGCAGCAGCCGCAGCAATTGCTCCGGCAGCATCGGGTGGCATGTCTGCTGAGTCCATGCTAGAGCAAATTGATATGCCCAGCTTGGGCAAATTGGAGTCGCTGCTGATGCATCCGTTAGAAGCAACACCAGGAGCAGCAGCAGCAGCAGCAACCACATCACAAGAGTCAAAGACACAAGTGCCAGCAGCAGCAACAAAATCTGCTCCGCGCTCTAAGATGCAATTCCCTCCAGCAGTCGCACAAAAGTACAAAGCAGCACAGCAATCCAAGGCCCAACTTGCTGCTGCAAAAATGCCCAAGATTCAATCCACAAAGATTCAATCTTCAGCAGCACCAGCTACACAACAGGCCAATAATCAATTGCCAGCAGCAGCAGCCGCACAGTCATCAAAGATGACAGGAGGAGGAGCACAACCATCGAAGATTCAATCGCAAACTGGAGCAGCACAGTCAAAGATTCCATCGGCAACAGCTGCAGCTACACAGTCGAAGATTCAGTCACCAGCAGCTGCACCAGGAGCAGCACAATCACCGAAGACTCAGTCACTAGCAGCAGCAGCACAGTCGAAGACTCAGTCATCAGCAGCAGGAGTAGCACAGTCGAAGATTCAATCCCAAGCAGCAGCTGGAGCACAGTCGAAGACTCAGTCATCAGCAGCCGGAGTAGCACAGTCGAAGATTCAATCCCAAGCAGCAGCTGGAGCAGTAGCTCATATCAAGGTGGACACACAGCAGTCCAAGGTTAAATCGCAGCCAAAGCAGCTGGCAAGCAAACCGACCGTTTTCATTGTGCCGCGATCATCACTGCCAGCAGCCCAATTGCCGCCAACTGCTGAGCATGATGAGCAGCCGCCGAGACCGCTCCTCTGTGCCCGACCAACCGATGCAAAGAAGAGCCGATATGGTTATTTTGTGGCCGATGGTTTGCCGCGTTATCGAGTTAAAATGATGGATGACAAGTTAGTGATCAACGTGCCCGAAGAGGGCATCTTCTCCTTCAAGAGCAGTGCGAAGGCCAGCGCCTTTCTTAATCGGTGAGTCCTTAAATACATTTAATACTTCAACTCAGTTAATAATTAACTATTTTTATACTTCAGCTGTTTGTCACGCAAGCCGAATTTAAAGATGCATTTGCCAGCTGATTGGAAATTTTCTCCCACTACCCGCAGCACTCCCATTGTAATCGATGATTAAGACTCAGTAAAAAAAAAAAAGGAAGAACAGAACAAAAAACACCCGCGCATAAAATATAAATTATAATTATAACTGTACTGCATATGCAATATGTTAGAATTAAGTTGATAATTTAAGTAAAACAACTTGAATTATTTAGTTTGTTTAATTATGAAATATGTGAACGGCTTTTATTGAGAAGATGCCACAAAAATAAAGATATAACAAGAACAAGAAATTCATTTCCAAACGTATCATTTCATGTGTTTCTTCCGTTGTTCCAACATTCCATTTCGTTTCAACTCAACAGCATCGGCACGCACAGCTGATGGCAGTGCTCAGTTCTCGTTTTGTTGCGTGCCCAGTGGGAGTGTGTTTGCTGCAGGAGGGCAAACGCAAGGCAAGGCAAAGCTAAAAGTAAATAAACCAAAAACTCGTGCACCGATTATTGTTTATAAATTTAAGCACTCCAAAAAAGCTGCGATAAATGCCTGATAAGCTGTCTACAGTTTAAAGCAAAAAAAAAAAAATATACAAATTATTGGCAACAGAACGATTTAAGGGGTTAGTCAGTAGAAGTACGCAGCCAATAATACACACACACACACACACACATGCACATGTATTTATTATAGTGATGAGCGATCATTTGTCGCTCGCCGGTTTTTTGTTTTTGTTCAAAGCTTGAAACTGTTTTTGTGTAGTTCGTGTTAATTGTCCGTTTTATAATAGACTAACTTAACTTCATGATATTTAGCTTAACAATCACAAGTAGGTTAATAGCTAATTAGAAATAAAATACTAGATTTATGCGCTAGCAAATACCCATCGATTTTATTATTTGTTTTTTTTAATATTTACATAACACGTCTTTTTTTTTCATTTTAAATTAAGTTTTTAGTTACAAAATTTCATTCGTGAAAGACAATAATATCGCTCATCTCTAGCTATATGTAAGTTGCAAGCAAAAAGAGAAAAAGAAAACGTTGCTAATAACAAAATAGCAAGTAAAGCACAATGAGCTTTGCAGTATATTTATTCTTAATTCCGCATTTCAGTTCAAAGAGCAACCCACGTCGAGCACAAGCAATAAAACTGTCTTCAGGCAGCTGAGGAAATAGCTAAGCATCAACAACAATAAAATAAATATCAACTGGAATAAGGACATCGACGAAATAATTGGCTTAGGTATGGATGAGAATCGTGTGGGCTATGTGAGTTTTCAGGATATTCTGTCACTAAATCAGGAGCACTGCAAAGTGCGCGATCGGCAAGCGGTGGAGCGAATAATCAATGAATTTATTTGGGGCGGACCTGAACGGATGCAGATGGTGTCCGATTTTGATTTTACGATTACCAAACAGCGAACGGATGATGGCATCGCAGTGCTCTCCAGTTTTGGCATCTTTAATAATTGCAAATCTCTGCCGCCGCACTACAAGGAGGAATCGGACAAATTGTTTAACAAATATCGACCCATCGAAATCGATCCACATATGCCCATTCCGGAGAAGGTGCAGTACATGATCGAATGGTGGACTAAATCGGGTCAGCTGACCAGCGGCTTTCCCTTCGACCTGGCCGAAATAGATCAAGGGGCTGGCCAATTCAAAAATGCGCTACGTGACCGAACGCATGAGCTGTTTGACTCGCTACGCCAGTTACAAATTCCAGTGCTTGTTTTCTCCGCCGGTCTTGGCAACTCGGTTGTGTCGGTGCTGCAACAGGCGAATATTTTATATCCCAATGTCAAAGTCATATCGAACTTTTTAAAATATAGTGACGGTATGCTGGCCGGCTTCCAGGAGCCCATGATTCATACGTTCAACAAGAACGAAACCGTTTTGGATGGCAGCGAATACTATGAGTTGGTGCACACACGCGATCACATCATTGTCATGGGTGATTCCCTCGGCGATGCGCATATGGCTGCCGGTGTGCCAGCATCATCGCATATTCTGAAAATTGGTTTTCTCTTCGAACATGTAGAGGCGAATATGGAGAAGTATATGAACACGTTCGACATTGTTCTCGTCGATGATCAGACAATGGATGTGCCGAGAGCACTGCTCGGTCTGATCGAGAGAAGGCATCAGCTTCGCCATCCACACATCGCACCGAATGACGCCGCTCTCCAGCTGAGTGCACTTTGAGTTTCCATGGGTATTTTGGAGTTTTAGTTGTTAATTGGCCTGAAAATACACTACAAAAGCTACTAATTAAATGGTTTACAAATAAACGATAAAGAAAAACAATCACTCATGTTTATCATCGGTATTTATGTGCATGTTTCATAATAAAAAGACATTTGTTTAGAAACGCATTAGCGTTAATTACTGATAACAACTAACAAGATTTGCTTTAACTGATTGATTTCACGCTTTGGGCTCCTAAATACAATCTAATATACTGCGAATTTGTCTAGATAAACTTTATGATTATTGTCTTAAGTGGAAGCAAGAGCGAGAATTGTATTAACAGCATTTTATCAAGGGAATACAATTGTGGCTACGCTCAGTGTAAAATTCGGAATACTTTTTTTTTTCGCTTGTTGCAGTTTACGAGCGAATCAGCTGATCTGAGTGGGTGGCAGCTGATCAAATATCTGATTAGCGAAATAACAAAAATATACACATGCAAATATGTATTTGCAACGCGCAAATAGAAATAGGGAATGTGACGCATTTTTATGAATATATATATATATATATATTTAAATATATAGTTAACAATATATGTTTACTTGGCGAATGCTCAAAAGTTTCAAAAAATCATAAACAAGAAACCAAATTAGAATCGCTAATAATGGTGACATGCATTAAACCATATTTTTTATTGATTATTATTGTTATTTCTTGTTCACTCTGAAAATATAATTCATAGTCTGGCAAAATGTACACACATTGCGACTTATCGCTCAAAATGTGAGAAAATATTTAGAAAAGTAATAAAATCAAATTGAGTAAATAAAAAAAACAACAAAATGCAATTAACAATCAAATATAACGTGCGCTGTGCTGTTCAACTGACTCGTTGATATTTACCAACACTGCCGTACTGTGAAGTGCTGGACAGCGACTGAACAGCTGGCACGTTTGCCATTAATTAGTGCTTTTGTGCAACACAGTGAAAATATACAAATCATTCGTATTAGCAGTGTTTTTTTTTTGTTTTTCTATACGCAGCCCGAAAAATTAACATAGTCAAGTGAAAAGAGTGTATTGCAAGTTGAAATTTAAGCAAGCAACACATACACACACACGAACAGCTGCTGTTAGTTGTTGCACGGAGGCAGTGACAATTTCCCCATCAGGCAAACATACGAATTATGTGTTGAGCTGAGAGCGATTGATCAGCTGGTGGATATTACAACAATAACAGTAATAGCAGCAGCAGCAGCAACTGCAGCGTCATGTTTGGCTTCGATGGCGAGTATCGGCGCCGTCCGGTGCAAAGTCTGGGTGGCGCCTCGCAGACCTGCGACCGAGACACGGCCATACGGAAAGCGGCCTTGGAGCGCCAAAAGCGCAACGATCTGCGACAGAAGGCGAACGGTGCTGTTGTCCTGCAATCCTATGCCCGCTCCTTCATCCATCGCCAGCGACGCAAGCGCGCCGAACGCGAAGCCTTCGATGCGTATCTGCATGCGCATCGGGATCGCGTCACCGAGGATGAGAGCTTGTGCTTCCTGCTGCGCCGCCTGAGCTTCTTCTACAGCATTCGTGTGCAAAAGGACAGCGAGCGACTGGTGGGCAGCAGCTACAATATATATGCATATATAAATACTAATTAATGTCTTTTTTTTAGATTGAAATCTGTCAGCAGATCCTGCGCAATCCTGTTCGGCTGCTGCAGCATTCAGCGCACGATTCCGTTTGGCTGCTGCGCGTCTGCAAGCTGCTGGATGCGTGCCTGGTTCAGTTGACGCTGCCGCACTGTGCTCAGGCCATACCGCTGCGCATGCTGGAGACATTCACCACGGTCGCCGCCGTGGAGCGTTACGTGGAGGATGAGACGTTGCTGTACAAGTATCTGGCTAGTGTGTTCAATTTCCTAATTCAACGCAATTATTTTGTACGCTTGCGCCAGCTGCTCGACGAGAAGTGCCCGCCGCTGGACGGTGAGACACTGGTGGCGCCTAGTCCGTTTGTCGATGCACTGCTGCAGCTGCTGCTGCGTCCGTTGACGGTGGCACGACGTCTGCCTGGCGGCGAGCATTCCCAACTCTTCTGTCGCAAGTTTATTAGCGACATCTTGGCCATGCCGCATACAGAGCCAATGCGCTACTTTGTGCTTCCCTGTCTGGCAGAGAGTGCTGAGTTTCCCTTCTCTCTGCTGATGCACTCGCTGCACAGTCTGCTTGAGCTGAGCACGGCGACGAGCGCTGCTGACTCTGCTGCCATAGATGATGGCGAGCGCAACTCAATGTTCTATGGCGTCACTCAGTCCATCGATGTGAAGCAGTCCAAGCCACAGTCTCGTGAGCTCTTCAGCTCATTTCTGCTCAACTCACTGATGGTGCTCGATCGCCGGCAACTGGGTGAGTAGCACAGAGTAGTATATCATATACATATCTGTCTAATCTATTGCACACTCTCCCTGCTGGCAGCCACATTGGAGCAGAGCCAACTGCTGATTGTCTATGTGCGCGTTATTGCCCAAATGATGCCTAATATTTTGCAGCTGCCAAAGTCAACGCTGCGCACGCATGCAACACCGCATCACCGCCACACAGACTCCGATGATGAGGACGATACGGATGAGTCCGATGAGGAGGACGAGGATCAGCCAACGACACGCCAACTGGACTATGATATGGAGCAGTCCTGTCGCACCACAGCCGAACTGAGCGCCAAGGAGCGCAATTGTCTGCTGGAATCGATAGCCATACTAAACGAAACGCAGCGCGTGGATTTCATTGTGCAGCAAATTGAGCCGCACATTGAGCACAGTCAGGTTATCTATGCGCTCTGCGAGATCTGTCACAATCTGATGATATACAATAAGCATGCGGTTTACGAATATAAGTGCGTCTCCATATTATATGTGTCTCCAAAACGATTCTAATGCCAATTTAATCTTTGTCCATCTAGACTGCTTTACACATTGGCCTTTACGCCAAAGTTCATACGCGCCGTTTGGTTCAAGCTGGCCGCCGAGTCCACGCAGCTCGGCTTCTCAGCGCCGCTCACACTTATCTCCAAGGGTGTTGTGCGTGAGTATAAAAACGCAGCTTAAATGAAATAGTGCTCATGGCATTAGATTCTTATGTTGAGTAGCCATTTTCACACTCTTGTTCACTCTCAATTCCAATTGCTTTCAGCAGCCAAGCAGCAGGGCGTGGATCGTACTATACCTTTGTTGGCCACGTTTTGCATGCTCTTTGGACGCCTCTTGCCCACGCTGCACGATGTGGAGTTCGTGGAGAATAAGCTGCTGGTGACGCCAGCCCTGCAACATGTGCGTCTGATGCCATTCTCTATTGCGGAAATTGTGCAAATGTCCAAGACGTTGAAGGACATAAGTCTCGGCCTCGTTGAGCTGGCGTTTCGCAGTGTGCTCGGCCATACGGATGCGGATGACAAGAAGCTGCGTCATCAGAAGCAAATCTGGGCCAATCTGTTAAATGTTGTGGTATTCGTGCTCAATCAGATACATACTCGTGATCTGCGTCTGGGCTTCTGTCCGGAGGCACATTGGACAGTCTCCCGCTTGGATTTGCCGCTCGATAGGCCAACGGATCTGCCCTTGACACACAGCAGTCGCTTGCGTGGCATACGACCATTTCAGCCTATACGAGACTTTACGCGCGAGGATTTCGAGAACGGGCCGCCCATGTCAACGAAACAGAAGCGATCCATTACCATCCTACGCGAAATACCCTTTGTGGTCGCATTCAATAAGCGTGTGAGCATACTTCAGGGCCTGGTCGCGGCCAACAAGATGCGTGTGCAGGGACATCTGCAGGCCTTTCTCCAGGGCCCCTCCATTATGATAACGGTGCGCCGTTCGCATCTCTACGAGGATGCCTACGACAAGCTACGTCCCGAGAATGGTGTGTACAGCTGCTGTATAAAAATGTTTGTGATTGTTTTATTAATTTGTTTTTGGATTTACAGAGCCGGACTTGCGTTTAAAGTTTCGCATACAGTTTGTCTCCTCGCTGGGATTGGATGAGGCGGGCATTGATGGTGGCGGTGTTTTTCGCGAATTTCTATCGGAGCTCATTAAAACCGCCTTTGATCCCAATCGTGGCTTCTTTATGTAAATGTGCCAAGCATTTTAGACTACTAATCTCTTACTAATCTCTAATTTTTCGTGCAGGGTGACAACGGACAACAAATTGTATCCCAATCCCAATGTTGCCGATTTGTTTGGCGACTTTGAGAAGCATTACTATTTCATTGGTCGCATTTTGGGCAAAGCAATTTATGAGAATCTGTTGGTCGAGCTGCCGTTGGCCGAGTTCTTCCTAACCAAATTGGCCGGCAAATATTCCGATGTGGATATCCATCAATTGGCCTCACTCGATCCAGAGCTATATCGAAATCTGTTGTATCTCAAGGACTATACGGGCGATGTGAGTGAATTGAATTTGGATTTTACGGTCGCCAGCAGCTCGCTGGGACAGACACAGGTGGTGGAACTGAAGCCACAGGGCCAGAGCACGCCGGTCACCAATTCGAATCGCATCGAGTATCTGCAACTGATAGCCAACTATAAGCTAAATGTGCAGATCAAACGACACTGCAAAGCCTTCCGCAAGGGACTGTCCAATGTGCTGCCCATCGAGTGGCTTTACATGTTCAGCAACAAGGAGCTGCAGATACTCATTTCTGGCGCTGAAATACCCATCGATCTGGAGGATTTGAAGAAGCACTGCAAATATGGCGGCGAATATACACCCGAGCATCCCTCAATCGTTGCCTTCTGGGCGGCTGTGGAGGGTTTTAATGATCTACAACGACGCCAGCTGCTCAAATTTGTCACCAGCTGCTCGCGTCCACCGCTGCTCGGATTTAAGGTGGGCCGCAAGGCATAAATTAGTAAAATAGTAACACATTGTATAATAATTATGTATATATATATGTATTTGTAGGACTTGGATCCGCCGTTCTTCATACAGAACGCTGGCGACATGGAGCGCCTGCCAACGGCCAGCACCTGCACGAATCTGTTGAAGCTGCCGCCCTTCAATACCATTGAGCAGATGCGCGAAAAGTTGCTATATGCCATACAGTCTGGTGTGGGTTTCGAACTTAGTTAAAATGTATACCGCTCACCCTCACAATCTACACACACACACACACATACACATACACATACATACATACATACTAACACACACACACACATATCGAATGCAATAAGGCCACACACCGACACCGATCGGAGTTCGCCTAATCCAGCAGCAGCAGCAACAGCAGCAGCAGCTGGTCAAGCACCAATTCCACTTCATTTAGAGTTGTACATTATGATTAACGTACTAATTAATTGTCTAATGTAAATGTATGGAAGCTTATGAGATATGTTTTTCCAGGTTTTTCTTTTTTAGTTAATTTCTTGTGTTTTCTTTCGTATTACACAATATAAATGTAAAAAAAACAACAAAACAAACCAAACTGTATTTTGTGTACAAATCTTTAAGCGTCAAAAGTGCGAAATCCCTTTAAATTTATAGCCCATTTGGGTGCCAGGTTATTCATGTGTGTGAATGTGTGTGTGTGTGTGTTTCTGTGTGTGTCTGTACACTGTGCTATTTCCGTTTCGTTGCAACACAAAGCATGCGGAAGTGCATGCAAATGCACACAAGAGTTGAACACTAGGTGCCGGAGTCCTGCTGCTGTCCAGTGTCCTTGACTTGATTTAACGACGACTGTTAGTTGAATTTGTATTTGATTACAAAACTGTATTTAACTTCCTTCTTTTTTTTATGGGAAAAGCAGTTGAATCTTACGTATAAATATTGAATCTTATATGTAAAATAATTCATATGTTCATACATCTGAGCATAAATCTTTTTTTTCTGCTTCCAAAACAAATGTTTATAATTGAATTAATAGTGAAGTTATATAAATCACAATATTTTAAGATAAAAGTGGGAATTATTTAGTGTGTTGCCACAAATAATAAATGGTCTGTTAAGGTCTTATTCAATGAGGCTTTAGTCCTCAGAATTTAATGTATAGGTTCTTGCACAGAAATGACGAAACTTTTTCCCCTCTCACAAAATGAATTAAATTGAAATTTCAAGTTCAATTTTGTAACTTTATCTATTATATTCTTTAAAGTTAATCGAACAGCATTAGCCTTTTATAATTACAAGGAAAAACTTTTTTATTCTAATACTTAAACCATTTTTTAATAGCTTGATAAATTCTATAAATTATTTGTGATTTAATTGGCTATATTCGGTGGCCTGTTCTATGATGCGCTCGTAGATAATGTGCGGCGCTGTTGTTGCATAGAGGAAGTCAATGTGATTGTATCCTTGCACCTGATAGAGCTTAATGCGACTGTTTTTCAACTCGCGGACAAGACGCAGCACATCCTTGCGGGTGGACAACGCATCCCGATTGCCATGGAAAAGCATCAGATTCAGGCGCACATTCTGCAATTGATAGGCAGGAGGTGTTGGCTGCCCGTAGTGCTTGGAGTTTAACCTGGCCGAGCGATAGTCAAACTGCTGGAATTTACCTGACAGAGCGAGAGAGATGAATAGATAGAGAAAGAGAGAGAGAGGGAGAGATAGAGAAAGAGAGAGAGAGCATAGAGCTGCAGCTGACAGTTTCGACAGGCAGCAGATCCTGTCAGTTGTACATGAGTTGTGCATTGTCTTACCGCTGTTGATGAGCTGACCAAAGTGCAGCAGTTGGCCACGGGAGATGCCCGCCGGTGTCGTCTCCAGAATCCGTGGCAATATGCTCTGCAATATTGCAAAAATTTTCAATTGATGAGGCCCAAAAGCCAATGGCCAAAAGCATTCAAATTTACGACCAGCCCCCCAAACCCGCCTCCAAAACTGACTGTCAGATCTTTGTGTGTGTTTGAAAAGCTGCTATTTCCGTTTCAGAATGACACAAAGCACACGGAAGTGTTTGCAGGTACAATACAAACACACACACACACACTAACACACACGACCTGTGACACATGTGAAGCCTGAAGGTCCTGTTTCGCCCCCTCCCTGACCTGAATTGACTTAGCGACTCATTGTTAATGTTGTTCTTCTTCTGCTTTTGAAATGATTGGACTGATTAGGGCTTTAAAGCATTTTAAAAGATTGCAACCAACTTGCTGCAAGTGCAAAATTAATAGTATAATCCAGCAAGAAGTAGAAACTGTCGACAGCTAATCGAAAGTTAAATTGAATTAAATCGGCAGATTATTTTTCAATTCTTTGCTTGCTTTGGTATTTATTTGTGTACTGCTGAAACGAGAATGCATTCGAAACAAGAAAGAATGGATAAAAATGATAATATATATATACTTTTTGTGTAGAAAGCTAATAGTTTTTTAAGCTGATTTAATAATACATTTAAAAATAAGCATTTTTGAAATACTGCCAGATTTCGTATTATTATTAATATTTTTAATGTATGTTCTCAATATTCCTGAATAATTAAATGTGTCATTAAATGTGGCACTTAAGCAACTGGCATCGACTGAAAATCTCTCTTTTTTCTTGTTGGATTGTTTTGACGGTTCCTCAGATTGGTGTTGGGTGTGTCTCACGTCCTGCGGCGACATGTTTGGTTTTGTTTTGATGCTTATTTGATTTTCCGGTTGTCCGCTGCATTTCATTTCATTTCATTCTTTTTCTCCGCTTCTCCGTTTTTTTCATTTTTATTTTTCTGGCTTCTTTTCAATTGCTGCAAGTTGTGGCAAATAGTTTTGTATATCGCTTCACAGCCGGCAGCTTGTTTGCTTTACTAGACTTCTTCAATGTGTGGTATTTGTTTCATTTTTAGTGGGAGTGTTGTTGTTGTTGTTGGTGTTGCTGGTTGCCACAAATCATGCTTCACGCATTGCAGTTGCACAGTGTGTTGAACTTTATGTGGCGTAAACTTAAGAGATGGGGCGCAGTGGGGATAGAGCTCTCAGCTAAATATGCACAAATATTTATTTGCGCGGGCAGCAAGTATGGGCAAGGAGACAGGAGGGGGTGGGGGTTGTGGTGGGGCATGTTTGGCAGTTGTCACAGTGGCAATATACTGCCCCTCCTTAGGCCCCTCCCCCGCCCATTGCTGCTGTAGGTAAGTCATCGCCTGGTGCTATTTGCTTAGCAATTTTGGTGCCTGAACAGAGTCGGGACCTGCCTCAGTTGTCGTCGTCTACTTGCTGTTTGTTTGGCTGCTTGTTTGTTGACATTTTTTATGGGAGCCATGACGATCCCAGAGATACGACACGCGATTGCACTTTGCTCCGTGGCTGGCGCTCTGGTGACTCGACTTTAAATTTGAGCTGAGAGATTTTTCTTTCTTATTTCTTAGTTTATTGTACGGGCAGAGTTCAATTGAGAATTTTGAATGCTGCTTTCTAGAATATTTTAGAGCGTTAAATTATATGAAAATAACAGCTAAAACTTGATTGAATAGTTTAAACTATAAAAAGGGTGTCAAGCTGCATCACAGTTCCGTTTCCTGTTCCGGCACATAAAGTGTAAAATTTCTGTTGGAATTTATGGATTGGTTTCAAATTTTGTACGGTATTTCGTTCCGTTATTATACTAGACTAATAATATCGTTTCCTATAACTTTTTTTCTTTCTGAATTAAAACTCCAATTATTTTTCGAATTTCTTTTCAAATTTTACCTATTTTTTTTTTTAACTCCCTCTTGCGTTAACCAATAAAACTTTATGTGCTATGCAAAATATTTTCGAAAACAATGCAAAGAGTGTTGTTAAAGCAAAAGTTCGTAAAGAAATTCATATTTCGCTCGAGCTGACAGCAATTCATTCACTTGGCCCAATGTTGAATAACTCAATTTTACACTGCCTGCCATCAGAGCGAGTTGAGGTATAAACCAAAGTTTTTTGGCCGCACTACAAAAGATATTCGGAAACTATCTATTGCCTGTCAAACTTTTGCACCTCTTTCGGGCCAGCTATAAAATAAAAACAACTGCCACAGCTGCTCTTGCCACATACACACACACACACACACATGATGTCTTACAGCTTACAGTTAGCTATTTCGTGTTTTTTTTATTTTTTCTTTTTTTTATTGTTGGCCAAAGCCAATTGCCAGGACCCTTAGCCTAATAACTAACAAGCACTTGGCGCCAACCTCTTCGGGACGAGCATCTCGTTCGCTTTGTGAAGCGGTTAAGCCTTTTGAGCACGCGCCCAACAACGATGCACAGATAAGCCATAAAGTTTGGCTAAAATAACATGAGCGCGATTTATTTGCCATATTTCATGGCAAAACAAAATTTAAATGTGCCGTGTGCGCAAAAAAACAAAAAGTGTTTAAGGCAACGTGGCGTATACGTAATGTGTGCTGTATAGTTAACCGTTGGAGAGCTCGGGCCAGGGGTGTGTGTAGGGGTGGGGGATGGAGGAGCGGGGTTCGTGACCAGGCAGCTGGCGCTGCTAGGGCCAACAACCAACGGCAGGGCGAGGCAAAAGTTTAGCGCACCTTTTGGTGCACATTACAGCAAAAAAAATCCCTCTCGAATGTCAACGAATATAAAATGCTCTTACGGCGTGACCAAGACAATGCTAGATATAAGTGTGGCATGCGTTTGACTAACACAAATGATTCAAATTATGAGAGTTGCAGTCTGTCAATTGGTTTAAATCAATTAAAATGTGCTCAAAATCCCAAATGTGACAAACTTTATGAGCAAACTAAGCAACTTTTGCAAATAAGTGCGAAAACAAACGTGCTACAATAGTTGGCACAACTGGCAGGATGCTGGGCAGGCAGCTCGTTTACGCATTTAAATTCAAATAACTTTTATTACTAAAACTAAACCCGGCACTTGAATGTGTTTTCTGTGTGCGTGTATGTGTCTGTTTGTCGTGTGTGTGTGTGTGGGTGAGTGTGGCACACTCCTGAGTGTAATAAAAACTTTTCCATACAACGCAACTTTAAGGACGCTTTGTTGGCTAAATTATGGCTGCATATATAATCGTAGTACTCACACGATCCAGCGGATACTCGCTGAAGCCCACATAGAGCGATGTGAGCAGAGTGCAGAGAACGGAGGTGGGCAGAGCGGCGCTGCACAGCAGCTGACCACCCGCCTGGGTCAGTGTGGTCGATGGCAGTAGCTCGTGCAGACCCAGTTGATTCAGCAGCTCCTGCAAGAAATGACAATGGATTACAAATGTTACAATCGATTTGAATCGATTATACTCTGATCCCAAAGTTAACTGATCTGATAAAAGAGTTTACTGGTAATCAAACTTTCAGTATTGTAGCTGTTCATTTGATTTAATCTGTGTGAAATGTTGTATGGTCTTAAATAGTGGAAACTATTTAGGTTTACCGATTTCAACTATCGAACTATCAACTACATAAATGTTTGTCGATTTACCTGCGCTTAGAGAGCATGAGAATTAAATCGAAACATTTTTACTTAAATACTTTATACATATTTTGTACCTTGTCAAAATATGAGATTTAAAAAGTGGAAAATATATATGTTGGTTGATCGATTTCAACAGACAGACAGACAAATAATAAATATACTCCTTCACTTTTGGAATCCGAGTTTAATATCAGAGTAAGTGCTATTTGCAGCATTAAGTATACGCACCGTGACGACGCCTGTATCGCTGGCGAGTAAACGCAGTGGAGGGCTGCTCAAATGTTGCAAATACGCAATGGGTGCGAGTAGAGCAACGCTGGCGAATCTCGCATTGAAAGCGGGCTGCTGCGAGAGGAGGACAAGCAGCACCGTGGTGCCCTGTGAGTGGCCCACATAGTGGAGGCGCTGATGACCCGTCACACGCAGCACATGCTCCACAAGGGCTGGCAGATCGTAGACGCCAATCTCGTGCCAGCTGAAATGCCAAAATTTCGCCTGACTGGCCGACAAAGTGCGATGTCGCCGCGATTGTGTTGTGCCCCTCGCATTGGGCAGCCACACATCGAAGCAGCGCGCATGCAACTGAAATGCCAACGCGCCTGCGCGGCCAGCTGCCACAAAATCACCCGCCGAACCGATGAGTCCATGCATCAGCAGAAAAGGCAGCTGGCTGGGGCAACTGTAGTTACGGGGCGGCGGAATGCGTTGCATTGTCAGCTGATAACCATCGACAGTTTCCACATGATGCACTTCACACTCGGCTCGATTGTGTTGCACTTTCTCGCATATCGCATCCAAAGCGAACGTATTCTGGCAACTAAGCAGCTGGAGTCCGATTGCAGTAAGTACATACAATAAGCAAACACACATTTTGTGGCACCATTCAAAATGTATTTACTTTTCTCTATTTATTGATATTATTCTTGTCAACGTACTTAATTTTCAATATTACTCTCATTTTACTTTTATTTATTTTTGGTTAGCTGAACTAAGTTTAAAAAAACTTCCACTCGCACAATTTTTGTTTATTTATTCACATAATACTTGTCAACCAAAAATATATATATTTTAAATTATAGTTTTTACACACAATTTGTTTTTATTTATTAATTTCATTGATGTCAACATATTTTGTAGTATTATTTACATTTCATTTTCAATTTTTATTATTATTATATTTAAGATTATTCCATTAATTATTTAAACGATTTCGATGCTTAATTCACTCCATCTCCAAGATGACTATCTAACGTTCAATTTAAGCTCACCAAGAAAATAATTGATAATTTACAAAAAAAAAAATTCACCCAGAAGTATTTAAGACGTGTTCCGCGCATTAAACGCGACGTTCGAGCTTCGACTGTGGCCCAATCGTGAGCTGTTTACAGGTTTTATTAAATGCGGCGTATACGTAATGTAAACAGTTAAAATGGGAGGGAGAGAGAGAGAGCTAATCGCACACAGACTTACATACAGGGCCATCGCTAATGCCACCATAAATAAACAAACATTGAGCTTTGTGTGTTTTGTTATAGCTTCCATTGATCAATTGAATAGGCCTTAACAATGTATTACAGCTTGTAGCAGGAACTAATATATTTCATATATTACCCTTTTACCCTTCTGGAGAGTATTGGAATTTCGTCGTCAAGTTTGTAACGTGTTTCTCAGAATAGAATTTCAGCATGAATATCGGGAAAGAATCCCTATGCTAATTGTGAATGAAGTATTAATTTAGAGTTGAAGCAATTATCGAAATCTAATCACTATTGATCAGCTGCAAAGATTGACCAATCTCTTTGAGTATAATATTAATATGATTTTCAAGTCGGAGCCAGAGCAATAATGATCCATAATAATGTTAATTTGGTAACGCAATTTACAAGAAATGTAGTTAAATGGTGTTAAGTGTATCCGAGTTGTCTGCTGGCTGGCAATTCAAAATATAGTAGCATGTTTATCTAACTTTTGTAATGGCCAACTTGTTAGATTTATGCCAAACACGGCCGACGTGTTAATTGCAGAGTCAAACGAATGGTTCAACATAAACAACTCTCCACGTTGGTGGATCCGTGGGTCAGACGCGCCTCAAACGAGGTGGCCAAAAACGATGGTGATGCGGCCTTGTCGCCCTAATTACCAATATTAATTTACTGCAAAATTTTGTGTGGTTGAAACTCTAGCTTCACATCTGGCATATAGTACATACATATGTGTGTGTGAGTGTGTTGTGTGTTGTTGTTGTTGTTGTTGTGTCAGTTGAGACTGCACATGTTTAACGGCCTATGTGATTTACAATTTGAATTGCGTCTACGTGTTGAAAATGCAATCGTGCTAATTAAAATGACCGCGATAGGGCGTGTGAAATTATTACATAGCAGCGCCAATATGAGAGTTTGCTAGAGAGACAGAGAGAGAGCGAGAGAGAGAGAGAGAGAGGAAGTGAGAGAGAGATGTTCTGCAGGAGGGGCGAGGCACAGTCACCGGCGAAAGCTCAGTGCGGTCAGGCAGCTGGCAGCAATGCGTTGGGCTCTCTCATCAAATTTAGTTGGTTTGGATGGCTCTCCATTGACGTCATCAACAAGTTGAGGTTGGTCATTTTGGAATTGCATTCTGGGCCTCTTTGAGCGCTGACTCGCTGCCAGTTAATTTGTTAGGAACATCATCATCATCCATCAGCCATCAGTTATGAAATTTTGATGAAAATCGAATGTTTCCAGAGTCACTCGATTTCTATTTGTATAATAATGTTTATGATTGAAAATGCAGCTAGTCAATTAACTAGCAATAGCATTTACTATTATTATTTTCATTTTAATTATTATTTTTGATTCGAAAATAAACCAATTAAAAATCATTGAGTGGAATTTAAATAATATAATAGTAAATGAAATAATTATTAGATGTTTACTAAATGATTTAAAATAAAATGAATCACAATCAATTTGCATTTTAATACACTGCACTCATCAATAATGGATAGACAGGGTATTGTGAAAATCGAATACAAAGAAAACCGCAACCAAGTTGCGCAAAACTTAGCAGCGCAAAGCAAAAACAATTAAATGCTTATCCAAATAATATATAATAATGCATATGCAGATTTTAAATAAATGACTCCAAAATACCTCAAAAATATCTCTAGAGAGAGTATCAGCTATCTCTTCTAATTTATATTTGTTGTTGCAGCTTTTGGCTCATTGCGATCCACTCTAAAAATGTAATGTGTTAATTGTGTTTATATTTGCTATGTGTTAAATAAATTGGAGTGTATATTAAAGTAAAATTAATGGATTGTTGCTGCCAATTATGAATAGCTGTTGTTGCCCAACTTGTTAGCTTTTTTTTATAACTTCTGTTTTGTGTTTGTGTAAGTGAATAATGAAAGAAAGAAGGAATTAAGACAAAGATGCTGCTGCTGCTGCTGGTAAGTGCATTATTTGTAATATTTTTAACTTTACCAACATACACAGAAACATTTAAAAGACAATCTTCCGGGATGTACCCTGTACCCATTTACAATTAATTACCAAGAAATAAGATGAGGACTTGTGAACGAACACCAATTACGCTTTAATAGGAAACACAGGCAAGATTATAAAACATTATTTAGATTCTCATATGTAATGATAAAAAGTTGTTTAAACTTTAAGTAAATAATCCAAGCAATAAGCTGAGTTATTATTATCTTATATTGTATTATATGCTTATGCACATAGCTAAATAGATAATATCTACTTAATTAATAAGCTAACTCTTCACCCCAGTTGATAGCTTGTTATTGTTGGGTTATCTATTTTAATTAGATGACCAACTATTATGATACTTATCTAGACTGTGCATCCATTTATCTGTTCTCATCCATTTATTTAGACTTTGCATATAGAACGACTTAATTAAAATTGCAGTGCTCATTAAATTGAATGCGATTCCTCAAGCAAAATTGCCAGACAACGACAAACGTTGCACCTGCCCCCAGACAGACAGACAGACTGATAGACAGACAGACAGACAGACTGACAGACAAACAGACAGAATGAAATACTGACGCAAAACAGAGACAAAAGATACGGTCGAAAGGATGATGCAGTTGCTTCTGGGCGAAAAGGGAGAATGGCAAGTGGGTTGGGGGGGGATTGAGTTGATGACGACGTTGATGATGACATTATCTCATGCTCATTGAACGCAAATGTGGCGTTTTGTCGCACACCATAAAAGATGAGAAGGGTGGGGTGGGGGATGGGGTGCAGCAACATCAAAAACAAATGCCAGAAGAATAAAGAGTACGAGTATCAACAGAGCTGAGAAAGAAAACTGCAACCGAATTTTTGTTTAACGACACTTTTTGCCAGACATTCATTCTGCACGACACTGACAAGCCCTCCATTTCCCCCACCTTTCCCACCTTTTCCACCTGTCTTCTCCTTATGTCATAGGTTTTGCTTGGCTTTGTTGTGTTGTGTTAAAAAATGCTTTTGTAATATGCCAAAACCAACAACAACTGCAACAACAAAAACAATAGCAAGTGCAATCGGAGCTGAGGTTTTGCGTTTCTCGGAAAAGTGTAGAGCACAAAAGACCAAAATAAGCAGAACAAATGCAAATCGTGGTTTGAGTTATGTGGAAAATGAAATACTCTCTTTTCTGGATTGTTATTTATCTTTGCGATAGTTTTATTACTTTTATTATTTATGGATTTTTATCTATTTTTTGTTTTGTTTTCAGATTTTTTTTAATCATATTTAGATAAAGGTAAACATTTATATAAGTAGTAGAATCGAACGACATTAAGTCAAGTTTATATATGTTTAAGTCCCTTGACAATCTCATTAAAATGCCGAATAGTCCCTCTTCAAAAGTTGAATGATCGCACAAATCGGAAGAGTGCATACCTTTAACCCACCCACACACAAGTGGTGCTGTGGTGCCAACTGTGCTTCAGTTCAGTGACTTATTTGTTGACATAATTTCAAGGAAATTGCGCGCATAAAGTTTTCCGCACAGCGGTCAAGTTAGATTTGTTTTCTCGTTTTTCATTCTTTTGCGAGTTTGTTTTTAACGAATTAAGTCGACAGTGTTGCCTAAGGCGGCCTTTAAATTGACTTTAATCGTGGGGCAGGCCGCACAGCCCGACCATTAGTCACACCCACTGGCACAGTGGCACTGTGGCAGACTGACAGACTGGAAGGAGTCGCTCTATTTGTGTCTCTGTCTCTGTCTCAGTCTGGCAACGTTTACGCCAAGTACTTAACAACTTTAATGAGCGACGGGCTGCAAAAAAAAAAAAAACCAAAAACAAAAAACTGCCGAGCATCTAAAGTAGCCAACGCGCACTTAATACTAATGGCCGTCATTATCCTTTATCCTTTTGGCTGTCGCAACAACTGTCAGTGCGGCGCTCTCGCTCTCGCTCTCTGTCCATCACTATCGCTCTCTTTTGCTCATTGGCGAACTGTTTATCTAGCCTTTTGTTAGCACGCACATTTATTAGGCCAACCAAAGTCCGCCCCCAAAACGAGAGTAAACCAACTTGTCCAAAAAAAAAAACAAAAATAAAGATCGCTCGAGGAGAGAAAAGAAACGGAAAAGGAAAAACAACAAAACAGACAAAAAAAAGAAAGAATTAACTTAACTCAATTTAAAAAAGTTTTCGCTTTCATTTTATTTTTTGTTTCTGTTTTTTTTTTTTGATTATTTTGTCTGTTTGCTGTTTGTTGTTTGTTGTTGTTTGACAAAAAACGAATTAAGGCAGCAAGCAAAACTTTAAGTAGCTTTTGTGTTGGCGAAAGTATTAAAATCGTTTCTCAAATGGAACTGAATGAGACAGAGTGCCACAAACCGCTCACCCCCGATTTCAATCTACCCACCACTCTCCACACAAAAGTAAGTGGCCAAAAGGATTCCATGCGCCAAGTGTCCTTGAGTCATATTTACTTAGCTTTGGCTCAAGGGCCTGCCATCCTTCGGAGCCCAGTGCCCAAGACCAAGACCAAAACCAGGCGCAGCTTTCAAACCCCAAGTCTTTTCCCCGACTCAGGGTCGAGTTCGTTTTTTTTTGTGTACGCAATTTACGCAAGATTTTTGATTTTGCAGCTGGAAAAAGGAATTTTCACCAGTTTTAACATGAAAAACCCAAACCAAAAAACCCTCGAGTTAAGTAAACCAAATTTTGTGTAGCACATCTAATATTACAAAATGGTTCGGTTTGGCCCAAGTGGATGCAATTCAGCTGAGGACTTCAACTGTTTAAGTTCAAATGTAAAAAAAAGAGGACTTAGAACATTTGATTGAAAACGGAAAGTTATATTTGCAATATGTAAGTTTCAATTGCACAACAAGTCAAAGAAAATCATTTTGTACAAGT